ATGCATTGAACAGCATAATATATTGCACCTACCAAGCTTGTGCTGAAAGCAGACTTTAGCAAGGAGAATGAGGATAAAAGGGAATCCTCTCTGAAGCCATGTGACCACGGCCTTGAGCTCAGAGAGAGCAGGAGAAGGTGTAGAGGCATCGTCACCTGCAGACAGGCAGGTGTGTGAGAAGTCAGTGCCTTAAACATATAGTTCACCTAAAAACCTGTGTGAATGTCTTTGTTCTGCTGTACACAAAGGTAGATGTTTGGGAGTATGTTTGTAACCCACTGACTATAGTATTTTCCCTCCCTAATATGCGAATCAATGGGGCCCAAGATCTGTTTGATTAAAGGGACAGTTCACTTTGAAATTAATTTTTGATATGTTTTAGCTTACCTCAAGGGCATCCAAGATGTAGGTGTCTTTGTTTCCACAGTATTTTCAATTCTGATATTTTTAGGTCAAACCGTTCTTGTCTGTCAGTCATATAATGGAGGTCTATGGTCACCACCTCAAAGGGCATGCACAGAGAAGTCCAAATTAAACATGATTTAATGACTCGTAAATGCAAGTACACATTGATGAAATGAGCGGTTTGTGTGAGAAAACCAACAGTATTTATATTGTTTTTGTATCTGACAGACAAGAACGGTTTGACCTAAAAATATCACAATTGAAAATACTGTGGAAACAAAGACACCTACATCTTGGATCCCCTTTCTAAAACTAAAACATATCAAAAATTAATTTCAAAGTGAACTAACTATCCCTTTAACAAATTTCTTTAAAATACCTTCCTTTTTGTTCAACCATACCGGTTTGGAACAACTTGAGGGAGAGTCAAAGATGACAGATTTTTTATTTTGTTGGGTGAACTATCCTTTTAAATTGACATTCATAATATCAAATAAATGCTGTTACTTTGAACTCCTGAAAAAAAGTATCATGATTTCCACAAAAATATGAACTGTTTTCAACTTTGAAAAAAATAAGAAATGCTTCTTGAGCAGCAAAATCAGCAGATTTCTAAAGGATAACGTAATGGTGAAAACTGAAGTAATGATGCTGAAAGTTTACAAACAGCTATTTTAAATTCTAATAATAAAAGTTAATGTATGTGTCATTACACTAAAATTGTTCATGACAAGTCACCTTTATTTCTATAGCACTTCATACAATACAGATTGCATCAAAGCAGCTTTACAATGATAAATAGGAAACAAATGATTCAGTGCTCAATTGTGCTGTAAAGCAGCTCTAACAGTCAGTTGAAATCAGTTCAGTGTTGATTCAGTTTGGTTCAAATGGATCATGTGGTCCTTGCGGTGATGTACACTAAACACATCTCTCACCTCCATCATCTCTGGTCCCGTGCCTCTCAGCAGAGGTGGCCGCATGCAGGAGAGAAGAGCGGTGCTGGCCGGAGTGATGATGAAGATGGTGGTGATGGTGATGATGGTGTGGAGGAGGGCGAGGAAGATAAGGTGGGCTCTCTGTCCGGTGAGAGCTTTCGTCCCTTGAAGAGGACACCATCTGAATGAAGACGTCCGGTGGAGAACCCAGAACCATTCCCGCAGACTGGAAGGGAGCTGAGGACACGTTCCCCGCAGAGACGCCCACCAGACCAGAGAAAAGCTGCTGGGGCGATGTAGGAGAGTCTGGCTTCAGACAGTCAAACACGCCTCCTTCATCAAGACTACTCTCTGAACCGAGAGTTTGACTCCTGTTCCTGCAACGAGACAAGACAGCAGTCTGCATTTGCACTACAAGGCCTAATGCACATATTCCACTAAATCAGCAGAGTTTTTTGTTTCTTTGTTTTTTCTAACATTGGGCTTCAATACAACTACATCAAAAATTCAGTGTGATTACATGGAAAAATGAATATTTATTAGGTCTGTCAAACGTATGTGGGTGCACTGTGTATAATTACTTTATATATATATATATATATATAAATACACACACACACACACGCATGCTCATATATATTTAAGAAATATTTTCATGTATATACTGTATATAGATTTATATATAATTTGTATTAAATATATATAAATATTTTATATATAAATAATATTTTTTTCCTAAATATACATGCATGTGTGTGTTTTTACATATATAAAATAATTATACACAGTGCACCCACATACTGTATATTATGTAAACACAAACTTTTATTTTGGATTAAAATTAGACTTAAAACTGTAAAGATATTTAGAGTATATGAGTAAAACCCAACCTTTCTGGTGGCATGCCCTCTGTGTTGCTGCTGTGGCGTCTCTGCATGGCACCCGCTTTATCACCAGGAGCTCCAAAACTAGGGTGAAACAGGAAGTAAAGTACGTTACGTTTACGAAATTTACGTTACGAAAGTCATATGAATTTCGTAAAATACGAGTAAACAATGACAGGAATTTCATTATTGGGTGAAGGAAAGATAAACCATTTAATGAATGTCATTAGGTAGGTAGGTAGGTAGGTAGGTAGGTAGGTAGGTAGGTAGGTAGGTAGATAGGTAGGTAGATAGATAGATAGATAGATAGATAGATAGATAGATAGATAGATAGATAGATAGATAGATAGATAGATAGATAGATAGATAGATAGATAGATAGATAGATAGATAGATAGATAGATAGATAGATAGATAGTATGGTAAACATTTGTGAGAGCTGACACTTTGATAAACATTTGAGATAGATAGATAGATAGATAGATAGATAGATAGATAGATAGATAGATAGATAGATAGATAGATAGATAGATAGATAGATAGATAGATAGATAGAAAGAAAGGTAAACATTTGTGAGAGCTGACACTTTGTTAAACATTTAAGACAGACAGACAGACAGACAGATAGATAGATAGATAGATAGATAGATAGATAGATAGATAGATAGATAGATAGATAGATAGATAGATAGATAGATAGATAGATAGATAGATAGATAGATAGATAAACATTTGTGAGAGCTGACACTCTGATAAACATTTGGATAGACAGACAGACAGACAGACAGATAGATAGATAGATAGATAGATAGATAGATAGATAGATAGATAGATAGATAGATAGATAGATAGATAGATAGATAGATAGATAGATAGATAGATAGATAGATAGATAGATAGATAGATAGATAGATAGATAGATAGATAGATAGATAGATAGATAGTTATTTTCTATGTTGTTAATTTTTATGACAGTTGTGTAGTAATATCTATAGTAACTACAGTATTTAGGGCGAACTAGTATTTCTACAATTTGGAAGAAGCCGCGGATGAATATCCGTGCCTGTCAGTGATGAATAAGTTACTGCTTTTTTCGGTTTAAACGCCTATCTAGTGTCTTAGAAACGAGCAGAATTATCTTACCTTCATCATAGCTTGCAACAGAAACGCACAAATTAATATTTAACCACTGTTTAGCGTGTTTTTTTTTAAAACAAACCCTAAAATTTGTGAAAACATCAGTCAGTGATGTAGACTGCAGAGAGGATGTGAACCGATTTGTTTCCGGAAGTACACACGCTGGACAGCCAATCACGACGCCTGGTCGCCCCGCATTTCCGCACGGAGAGAGCTGTTGTTGTTCAGCCTAAATTCTGCAACTCTAAGTATTTAAACAATTTACGATCTAAACAAATAATCTCAACATAATCCTGTGATCGTGCATACATTATTCGATTAGATTATTAGATTAAAGCCGCGCAGCTTTCAGTCGTGTTGACAACAATCTGGTTTTGTTTGTAATTTTGCAGCTCATAGTTACATCTTTCATAATGAAATCAAAGTATAAGTCTCCATCCAGAACATTGCATGCATAAAATGGGTTAAATGTCTATACAAACTCACTGTTTGTCCAACTAACGACGGCAATCGATCTCTACCGGCGGCCTTTGTTTGTCATATAATATTCTTCACGCGATCGCTGAGAGTGACAGTGAGTGTGTTTGATGCCAGAGATGCTGTGTTAGATAAATCAGCTGGATCTCTCGGTCTGAGATTACTAGTGCTGTTTATTTAGCTCCATCACATCTACCTGGACCTGGTGCACATCCAGAAGAACGCCTCCATGGTGTTCCGCCGGCTCTTGCGCAAGCGTTGGGTCCTGGGTGTCGTGTTCGGGTTGTCGCTCATCTACTTTCTCACCAGCACCCTCAAACAGGTTTGTAACGTTAACGTTCGTGGGGTTGTTGATGCTCCTGCTGTGTTGCTCTGTCCCCACTAGGGAGGAACCAAGATTGATTGATTGATAGTATGTCCGATAGCAGAAGTCGATTATTATTTGTGTGTGTGTGTGTGTGATCAAAAACCTGTGCTCTCAAATACATATGTTTTAGTCCATCTCTGCAAAACGGACTTCAGGTTAGGAGATGGACTAAATTACTCCTAAAACTTACTGGCAGATTCTGGAAGATGAATTCTTCAAACAGGATGTGGTGCTGGTCCTTCAAGAGTCACTTTCAATCTGTCTGTCTGTAAAGCCTGTAAAAAAAATATTCTTAAAATATTTTATTACACTTCAGCTTGTGATTCTTATTAAGCCAGGGTCATTTTGGGGGGGTTCTTTACCTTACCTTAGGGGTCACCTTGCACTTCTGGAGACTCCAGGTAGGTTGCAGTTCTGGAAACTGGTGGCGCTGAAGGGTTTCACACTTAATTCGTCACCTTAATTCTTTTGCAGTTAACATGTCTTTTCTTCTCCATCTGTATTTGTCTGCACCCTGCTGACCCAATGAGCATTGCACTGTGCAATGGTCATGTCTTAATGGCAATTTTATAGTATTGCATCCTTATCATGGGCATTTAATCATTTTTGACTTTTCAGTCTGCGTTAAATCTCTTTTTTTGGCTTATTTTATCTGCAAAGGAACACACCTAATAATTATGCACACCTGAATATAAGGTGTTTTTCATTTTTAGCCTTCATGAACAATTATATATGCCACAAATACCACATGAATAGTAGTTATTAAGATTAATGTGGTTTGTAATTGGTAAAATGTGCCTGGAAAAAAGAAATCAGAAAATCAATGTGCCTAATAATTCTGTATATATATACAGGATTGGTTTGTGATGATAGATATTGGTACACTGCAGTTGTAAAGAGAAAATATTTAGCAATATGGTGAATTTGCACATGGCTTATCTTAAATTATATTAAAAACCCCACATAATCAAATAAATGACTTTTAAAACTTGATTTTCACTACAGGGGGTCTTTTAACTAGCTTGACCAGCAATAGGCCCTTGCTCATCTCAACTTCTGAGAGGGGACGAACCATGTATTGGAAAAGGAATGATGTTCTGTGTGTGACGTGATGTGTACAGGAGGAGCGAACCATCCGGGATCGGACCCTCCTGGAGGCGAGGGACTCAGATCACCCCATCCAGTGGAAAGTCAAGTTCATCCTGGGCAACAGCAGCAGGCAGATCTCACAGTGCAGAAACTCAATTCAGGGAAAGAGCCTTCTCACTGATGAACTGGGTAAGTGGTCATCCCCTCACCACCATGGCCAACTATTCACAACACAGCCGTGATGCATTAAAGGTAGGGTAGGCAGTTTCGCAGAGGCGAGCAATAGCAAGCTAGCTTCCCACCCTCCCTTCAGTCCAAAGCCATACCTCCTTCAAAACACACGAACGCACTCAGCAGTGTCGCATAAAACATCATTAAATTACCTTATGTCTCAAAGAACATAACATTACAATAATATTGAACGTGAACAACTTACAGAGCTCTAGTTGTACCAGCTGACCGCTGCAGTTTAATTTTGACCTAGAAACGCATAATCGATTACAACACGGCGTGAACGTGAACGCAGCATAAGCTGATTGTTTTGGTCCAGGAGGAAGTGTAAAAGGAAGGGTGCATAGAGGTATTGAAATATATGTTGACAGCTAGCTTTTCGGAGCAAATGCAATGATTGGACGGACATTTTTTGGTCCTGAGACAGACGATATGAGTACGTTTTAATATTTAGACCACTGTTGATTGCTATCAGGATGTGAAATGAGTTTCAACCAGTATCACAAAATTGCCTACCCTACCTTTTAAAGAGTGTGCTTTATTGTAATTACTGGTGTCATTTCCATCCTTGAAACTTGCGCTGTGTAAATTGTTAAATATTGGGGGGAATCTCAAGAACCAATGTCCGAGTCCTATTTGACCCCCACAATCAAAAACAAGAACATTTAAAGAAAATTATGTACATAATTTTTTTTTTTTTAAATGCACATTTTGCCCTAGTTCTCATTAACCCAATGCAACTTTGAGGGTTTTTAATTGGGATTATTCATTGATTGTCATTACTTTAATACTTACTGTAATCTGGGATGTATTCCATTATTGATATTTAAAATGAGCCTTACTGAAATCTGCAATCTGTAAAATGCATTTTTTTCTCATTATTATTTAAAATCAGTGTTAAGGTAGTACAGTATCAAACGTGTAAATAAATATATAATTTGTCCATTCTGCGGTAATGAAATTTGTCATGAAAATAGTGTCAAAATTCTGGTACAAAATACAATTCTGGAGTACAATACGGTAAATACAAAACGGTAATAATCTGGAGTGTTAGTTGTGTGATTCACCTGATTTTGGACCACAGTTTTATAAGGTGATTGCATTTGTTAATAGGTAGAACTGGCACTTTCACAGTATTAGTTAAGGGAAATACAGGGTCATAGCAATTTTAACTAGATTATTATTGCCTTTGGAGAGCATTTTGTCTTTTTATGGGATTGCATTTAAAAACAGATGAGGAGCGTGACTGTAAAGGATTGGACAGAGAGGGGAGACTGAATTATAATGACACTCACATCCACTAACCACGCCATGTTTGATGTGCATCTCCTTATTTTGAAACACGTCTCTGGGCTTATGTGTATTCACATGTATGACCAATGTTCTGTTTCTTTTTCTTCAGGTTATGTGTGTGAGAGGAAGGATTTACTGGTGAATGGATGTTGCAACGTTAATTCTCCCAGCTCAAGCCAGTATGTCTGTAAAAGCTGTCTGGCCAATGGATGCTGTAGCATCTACGAGTTCTGTGTTTCCTGCTGCCTCCAGCCTGATAAGGTATCTTCATTTTTTATTATTATTCATAGTGTCTGAATTACTTTTAAACAGTCCAGCAATGGATGAAAAACTTTTTACTATAATGGTTGTAATCAGGGTCCAAAATGAACTGTATGTGGAGTGAGAAAGTGTAGATTAATTTTGTAATAAGGAATTTCTTTTTATGTCTATTAAATGCTTTCATACTTGGGTTAGTGTATATGATGTATTTGTATTATTTCTATATTATTTTATTGATTTATTATATATTTTTATTTATTTATACTTATTATTTACATCTTACGTCATGGTGTGCATATATATATATAAATATATATATATATATATATATATATATATATATACACACACACACACACACACACACAGTGAAAGTGGTACTACTATTAGTTACATTTACATACAAACAAGTCATTGTGAAGAGGCAATAACAGGACAAGAAGTGCTCAAGTTCAAACATTGCTCAGACAACATGATATCATGACTTTTGCGTAAACATACACGCCACTTTCAAGTCAAGTGGTGTGTTATCTATACGCATTTTGAGCTATCCGCGTGTATGTGTGTATGTCTACCCCGTTAAACGTCCGCGTGATTCTGCGTGTATGTACACGCCGTTAAATGTCAGAGCGAAACAAAGCAAAATGTAGATTTACATCTGGGGAGCGATATTTTTTTTTCCTAGGATGGTAGGGGAAGACTCATAAATGGTATTAACCCCAGTGACGGGTAGGTTTAGGGACGGGGTTGGGGTTTATATATACAGTAATGTAACGTTAAAGGAGTAGTTCACTTTTGAAAAAAACTTTTGCTGATAATTTACTCACCCCCATGTCATCCAAGATGTCCATGTCTTTCTTTCCTCAGTCGAAAAAAAATTTAGGTTTTTGATGAAAACATTCCAGGATTTTTCTCCATATAATGGACTTCAATGGGAACCGGATGGTTCAGGTCCAAAAGACGGTTAATAACAGTTTCAGATGCAGCTTCAAATGTCTTTAAACGACACCAGACGATGAATAAGGGTCTTATCATGCGAAACGATCGGTTATTTCAAAGCTTATTCCAAAAATGTAACTTTTCTAAGGACAAATGCTAGCCTTTCTCCATTCTGTGAGGCGCGTTTGCAACGTCACGTAGTACGTAATTACGTTCAAAAGGTCACGGGCGACGTAGCCAGAAGTACAGAGTCAGTGTTTACAAGTTGAACGCATAGGTTGAACGTGAAAACTAACTCAAACGCCGTTTACAAAAAAGGAATTAAAAGGTAAAACAACGATGTCGGACGATTTTGATTCTGTACTTCCGGCTACGTCGCCCGTGACCTTTTGAACGTAATTACATATTGCGTGATGTTACAAACGCGCCTCACAGAATGGAGAAAGGCTAGCATTTGTCCTTAGAAAAGTTACATTTTTGGAATAAGCTTTGAAATAACCGATCGTTTCGCATGATAAGACCCTTATTCATCGTCTGATATCGTTTAAAGACATTTGAAGCTGCATCTGAAACTGTTATTAACACTATCTTTTGGACCTTGAACCATCCGGTTCCCATTGAAGTCCATTATATGGAGAAAAATCCTGGAATGTTTTCATCAAAAACCTTAATTTCTTTTTCGACTGAAGAAAGAAAGACATGGACATCTTGGATGACATGGGGGTGAGTAAATTATCAGCAAAAGTTTTTTCAAAAGTGAACTAATCCTTTAAGTCATAAACACGCTGAAAAGCGATTATGCGTGTTGATAGTACGCCAAAAATGGAAATACGAATTGGCGTGTCATACATATGCCATTTCATGAGATCAGTCTGGCTCATAGTAGCATAAACCAGGCAAGTGAGGATTTTTTTTTTTTTAATCTTACACTTGTGGCAAAAAGCACGCACCACTAGGTCACTTGCAATGTCATACAGTATCCAGTCTAACTGTAAAATGCCACTTCAAAAAACATTGAGACACATTGTGGTTTGTATTTTCCGTTTAGCAGAAATGCTGAAACAACAGCAGACATGCGTTGCAACATGTTCTGAAGTTGCTCATTATGATTGCATTATTACATAGTTACTAGAAACAAAAATAGCTATATATATATATATATAAAAAAAAAAAATTTATATGTGTATATGCCAGTACTTGACACATTTGTCTTTTTTTTTTTTTTACATTGGTTGCAGCTGAAAATCTGTAATCAGTCTGTAAACAATGTGTGGTGGACAACTCTGCTGCTATTAATAAATGTTGCATTGGTATTTTGATGACACTATCCTTTTGCAAAAACATGCAAGATCTAAAAACAATTCTAAGTTCATGATCACTAGATATGCGTCACCTAACCGGAATCCGAAAATCAGGCCACTCTCGTTGGAAACTCCCCTCTGACAAAAACTCTCTGTCTCCTGCTTCTCTCTTCCCATCAGCAACCTCTTTTGGAGCGTTTTCTAAACCGAGCCGCAGAAGGGTTCCAGAACCTCTTCACTGCAGTGGAAGATCATTTCGAGTTGTGTCTTGCCAAGTGTCGTACATCTTCACTGGTGAGCGTCACACACTCTCTATTAGAGCCAGACCGATATATCGGCAGGCCGATATTAGGCAGTTTCCAAACTATCGGTATCGGCAGTTATAACGGCCGATAAATGAATATTTCAAAAAAATAAAATAAAAACGGACGAAACACGCTTCAACCATGTCATGAGTGTTGGAGTTGTATAGTTTGTCCACCAGAAGGCACTCTACACTGTCCCTGTTGGCAAACCTCGTTGAGTTGGGCACGATACATACATTGCTTGAATAACAATTAAAAGAACATCCCCATCAGTTCTCTTAACTCAAATTAGCATGACAAAATTTGTGACCATCACGTCCAGTTTAAAATAAATAAATAAAATATCGGCCGATATATCGGATTTTAAAACCAAAAATAGTTGTATCGGTATCGGCCTTCAAAATCCTTTATCGGTCGGGCTCTACTCTCTATGTCAGCTTGTTTGTGGCGTTCCAGATAAGAATACATGGCAATACCCCAGCTATTGTGTCATTTCAGAGCGTCCAACATGAAAACACCTACAGGAACCCGCAGGCGAAATACTGCTACGGAGAGAGTCCACCAGAACTTCTGCCAATATGACTCTGTCTGTCAGCGAACCAACCTCGAATAATGAAGGAGATTTCTTGGAGGTCTTCTCAGGGGTCCCGATGGGCCAAAATGAAAAATAATCTGAATGCACAATCATAAAGAGACTTTACACTGCATATGTGCATAGTATCTATTTTTACCTCATCAGTGATGAACATCTCATCAAAGTGTCCGCCCCTTTCTATTTTCTGCTAAAGATTAGGCCACATATCGGTAGCCTGGCTAATTTTATCTTTGAGTGGGATTCCCGAAAGAGTCATTGTGTTGTCGATTCATGCTAAAACACTCATGGAAACCGTGAAAGCACCTCAGATGTTTCGACAGCATCACCCCTCACACACAGGGTCTGTGAGAGCTCCGATTTGTACAACCTTGCATGTGATCTGCTATATGTTACTTAAATTTGATTGGGACACCGATGACTCATTCATCCTCATTGTAAAACATCACTACTGGTAAAAGCAGAACTTTCTCACAGTATTGTTTTGTTGTTGTTATTTAAAGCAAATTATGATAAATACTTTGCTTGTTACATATACATGCAACATTCCAGCCGTAAATAAATGATATGTTTGCTAGATTATGTTAATTTCCTGTCTAGCAATGTATGTTTATGGTAAGATATAGAATTAAATAATGGTTTGTATTTAAAAATAAAAAACATTGGTCGCGTATCATTGTGTAGCGAGTTGGCTTCAGAACTCCCATTAGGGAAACAAAAACTGAATCCAAAATAACTACCCTCAAATAGGGCATTATTAGGGAACAGCTGAAACCAAAGTGGACGTTTTCGAGTGCACTCATTCAATCCGATGAATGATATCAAGCCGACGTACTTGTTTTCATTCACTCAATCGAGTGATCTGTATTCGTGGACTAACATAAGAAATATTGGTTGAGGGTTTAGGCGATTTCCAATTCAGCCATAGTTTTCAGGGTGCATTGTGGGACTTTTTAGAGCGCAAATTTTCAGTGCACTGGTTGGATGTTGCAAGCAAGACAGCCATTAAAGGCATTGTTCACCTTTAAAAAAAAACATTTGCTGATAATTTACTCACCCCATGTCATCCAAGATGTCCATGTCTTTCTTTCTTCGGTCGAAAAGAAATTAAGGTTTTTGATGAAAACATTCCAGGATTTTTCTCCATATAATGGACTTCAATGGTAACCAAACGGTTCAAGGTCCAAATGAGAGTTTCAGTGCAGCTTCAAAGGGCTTTAAACGACACCAGACGATGAATAAGGGTCTTATCTATTCAAAAATAAATAAAAAAGTTTATAACTTTGGGTTAGTTGTAACATGTGTTGAATAAAAAGCTTTCAAAATCAATTTTTATTTCTTATTTTATACATATTATCCTGGTGGAGATCATAATGTTACATCTCACCCCAGGGTATTTTACAACTAACCCGACCAGAAGAATATTAAAATGCTGTTGATGGTAAAATAGTTTGCGCTACAAACCAGTGCGTTTAGGATTTCGGTAATAAAATTGAAATATTATGAAATTTGCAATATAAAGCAAACAGTTTTTGTACATCTAAAATAACTGGAAACGAATGAGACCAGAAGCCTTGACACATTCAAGTTACAAATGGCCGCACCCACTCTTAACTTAAAAATAATGTGGATTTTTACCCTCCAAATACTGGTGTACTGTTCAGTAAACAGTTTAAAAAAAAAAAAATTGCCAACGGCCAAAATAAAGAAATCATTTGGGGATACATGCCTACTATTAAACAATTAATCATCCTGATTATTCCAAAAGAAAAAAAAAACATCTGCACTGAAATTAGAAAATTAACAAGCTCAAGTTTTTCAAGGCCGCGTATGACAGTTTGATTAATGACGGTCACTTGAGACTATAGTATTATCGCACTGCAGACTTAGCAATAAGATTGAGTCGACCACCTGCTTCCCGCGTGTGCAATTAACATTCTGAGGATTTAACACATGGCTATGAGAATTTGTAACAAAAAGTTTATTGTATTGTATTGACAACATATGAGGTAACATTACAAAATACAAAACTGAGTGACAATATGTCTTACACAACAAACATACAAATCATTGAAAAGTGCAAAAATATATATAATAAATAATTTATTCTATTGAATTTGATGCAACAACAATATAGATAAAGTAACAATAAGATAAATAATTTTATGTAGATTTCTTTTAACTTAAAATAGAAAATATTGAAATCATAAATTAATAAATTAAGTGCAGTTGACAAATAATATGGACTAGTAGCCATAAATTGTTTTATTTAGCGTCAAAAGCACGTCTTGGTTTGAATATTATTCCGTATGGTTGGCACGTCTTCGTATGTCTTCCATATGGTTGATGAAGTTCGCCAACTCTTGCAGAAAGTCTACAGAGATCTTAAGAACAGTACCGCCCCACTGTATTCTTTCAAATGTGTGTGAAGGCGAGGAGATGGGCTTCTTTGTCCTGTTTGTGCATGGACCTATTTTAAGTTCAACACAGTCAATGGTAAAGGTTAAGTGTTTGAGGATGGTAATATTTATGGGATTCCATATATGATTTAGGTCACTTTGGTGTTTATGTATCAGCTCAACTGCATCTTGCATGTAGTGAAGTCCGCATTGAGCTCTGTGTCTTTTCTCTTCAGTGGTCAAGTTCTTCAAGTCAAGTTCTGGAATTGGTTCGGGCCATGGTCTGTGATTTTCAGTATGATTTTTGTGCTAAAGAGAGAGAGAGAGATGGTTTTAAATAGTTAAAAAAAAAGCCTTTGAACTATCATTAACAAACTCTGCTATGTCCTGTTAAACCATCTTATGGTAACACTTTACTGTAACATAAGATGGTTTACTGTATTGTAAAGTCTTTACAATAAGGTTTCATGAGTTAACAAACTAATAATAAACTGCACTTCTACAGCATTCATTCATATTTGCTCAGTGTTGGGAGTAACGCATTACAAAAGTGATACATTACAGTAACATATTACTTTTTGCTGTAACGCAGTAGTGTAAGGCATTACTAATCAATTTTCAGTAATATTTTACTCGTTACATGTTCAGTGAGGCTTGTATTACAGTTGTATTACAGTGTATTGTCTGCTTTTACTTCTTAAAGGCAACATATGTGAAAGTTTTAAAGCAGTCTTTTAGTGCCAGTTCAGAGCGGTCGCGTCTGTAACATTGTTTTTTCCTCATAAATGCGAACACGAAAACTAAAATAAAATGAATATTTTAAGTTCTATGGAGACTGGAGAGCCAACCCTTCCTCATCCGATTTGCGCAGTGTAATTCACAGAATTACAAAAAATATATTTTACCTCCTATTTTTTTGTCATGCATGAATGTGTGTCTTTTCCCTAATATTAAAAATAAAACATAGACTGATATTTGTCTAATGTCTGGAGTCCTTTAAGGAAGTAGCCTATATACGTTTCAATACATGTATTTTCTGAGAATTTTTATTTCAAGTTTTGACTGCAAATGTCATGTCCATAATGCTGGACCCAATTTTAAATAATTTATCCTCAACTAGTTTTGTGGTGTAGGTCTACGTATTTTATAATGTTAACTTCAAATAATACTAATAGCCTAATTTAAAGATAAGGCAGCATTGGATCTGGACGGTAAGGAGAATAACGCTGGAGTTGGAAGAGGTGTGTCGCGATTCTGTAGGTTCGTGGATCTGAGTCGTGTGGCGAATCGCGATTTCGGTTTCATATTGCATATCGTTACAGCCCAAACGTTAAGTTCTACTTAGTTATTTTGGTGAAAGTAACTCAAAAGTAATACATGAGTAATGTAACGCATTACAATTCAGAGACAGTAATATTGTAAGGTAATGAATTACTTTTAAATAACAGTAACAAGTAATACCTAATGTATTACAGTTTGGAAGTAACGTGCACAACACTGTATTTGCTAATGTCAATTTGAACATTTACTAATACATCATTATAATCAGACGTTGTATTTGTTAACATTAGTTAATGCACTGTGGAGTAACATGAACAAACAATGAACAGCTGGATTTTAATTAACAAAGATGAACAAATAAAGTAACAAAGGGAGTGCTCATAGTTAATACATTAACTAATGTTGACGCTATGCTAATGCTAATGCTAATGTCAATAAGGGTTACCCATCTAATGAAATGAAATGGCATGTAATGATAGAGAAATAATTCTGAACTCAGAAAGAAATCTTTCGGACAGCTACATATATGTTCATGTGTCATTATCATTATCGTCATCATAGTGTAGATGGAACGCAAATACATTACGTGTTATAAACATAAATGTCTTATCACTTAAATATGTTACCACTTATCACACAAAAATGAGTTTTCGAAGTTGTAAATCAAACTAAGATTATTGGAGTCTGTCACTCTTTCTACTTTACTTTGGAAAGGGTTTCAAAGTAAATCTCACACCAAGTTGAAATCTCTTCTAGGACACTGTGAGAACTTCTTATCCAGTAAAAATTGGTAATAGTACACTGGGTTTGTTGGTTTGATATTTCACGGACATTGTAAAGTGTGGCATAAATGCCGTATTCTAATGTAATGTATATTGAGCAAACTTATCAGCATTTCTATCTCATTTTTTCATTAAATACAGGAAAAGATTGATACTTACAAAAGCGCCCAATATTTGTTTCATTTCAAATTTGGTTCGTTTTATGAGGGATTGAAAATTACAGTCTCCATTTGTCTTTGCCAGGATCATCCCTAAAAAACACCAAATCAGAAGTCCTAAAAAGAAAAGTACATTGGTTAATGTCAGGCTTAAACTGTAATGCAAGTTAACTGGTTCTTACACAAGAATTACAGATTTAACTGACCTGTTTTTGGATCCATGATGAAAATTCACAGTAGTCACAGTAACTCTCGGTGCTAGAGCAAACTCTTCAGAGTATGATACGTTTTCAGTCAAATCACTCAAAACTTTCCATCTTTTATATGCCTGTAACTGCTTAGTCACAAGGAAATGTGTCGATATCACACACACAAATCTTACAAGCACTTTCATTTAACCCAAGACGTAAAATTGCTTATCTTCTTTGTGGATGATTATGCTCTGATAAAAAGTATGACATGTCGAGCTCGTGGATGTTTCCCTGAGTGAACATGTGACAAATGCTTAGACTCTTAACGGGCTGTAGGTAAATCTGAGGTGCTTGGGATGCCGGTACTAATAATCACTGTTGATGACAACACATCTCATGCAATGCTCTGATCGTGTGATGTGTGATTAAATCCTATGAAATCCCTCATTTTACTTTTAGACTCGAGTCGGTGAAAATTTGTTGCATATACGCTGCCTCGAATTTCAATTTTGTGATGCTTTGTGACTTTTGTCCCTTGTTACAAACACATACAAACACAGGCATAATGTCACATGCTTTCTGTTGAATTGTTCTGACTGTGTTTGTCATAGATGTGATGTCACACAAGAATTAGTTCCTGCGAATTACGATGCATATATATGCATCTCTTCTCTTATAATTCACTTCCTATTCAAAGTTGGATGATTAAATGGAGATGCTCTTGAGAAGAGACATACTGTACAACAGTAAGTGTTGTATTAATAATATAATGTTTGACAATCTGCACTGGAAGCTGTAAGTTTGTAGGTTTAAAGCTCAAGTTGACCAAGAGTTAAACTTAGTACCACATACATTGAACAGTCAGTTTCATTTTTTAGCAGCGATCTTCACAACTCTTTTGGAATAGATAACCAAAATATACTTGTATGGGCTATATGCACGCATAAGTTCCGCATTTGACGTAAGGATGCTCGTCCATTTCCGGTTGTGTAGATTAAAGCGGAGGAAAACCGGAGAAAACGGGATTATGGCAGAGTCTTCAATATTTACTGTCCTCCCGTCTTTGAAACGAAACGTACATACGTTTAGATGTAATTTTATATATAGTTATGTTTATTTAATATAATTTTAAAAAGAAGCATAAACACAACGAGGGGTGTCTTTTTTATCTGTTTTTGTGACTAACGTTTCATTAGTATAACCATGGAGTATAAAATTCAATATAAATTCTCGGTATTGCATTGGACTCGGATGATCGGCGGAAGTTATCGAGCATCCTTAATCCTTCACCGGAAATAACGCTGTGCATAGAGCCCATTGGGTGTTAAACAGCCTTTTCAGTTCTTCCTTTTGTGTATACACTATATAGCATTCAAAATGACTTTTCCTACTCACCTGCTCCTCTGTCCTCCGGTGTGCCTCAAGGATCCATTCTCGGTCCTATTCTGTTTTCTTTGTACATGTTGCCACTTGGTCAACTCATCTCCAATCACAACGTTAATTTCCATTTCTATGAGTTCTGCGCTGGATCCTCTCTCCATAACTGTCTTCAGGACATCAAACAGTGGCTTTCCCAGAATTTCCTTTCATCTGAATGAAGGAAAGACTGAGGACATCCTGTTCAACCCAAACCTCCAGTGACCGGTCCTAGTATAAGTCATAAACCCCGCCTCCCCATGTTATTCAACGGGACGCGAGGCCAACTAAACAATTAAATGACACTTCACATATCTGTTTCTGTCATTTATTGTAGTTTCTATCACGTTGATGTAATTTCAAGAGTTTGTTTTTAGTTAGTTATTTGATGCTATAAAAAACGGTGCTGTGACATCATGATTGACAGGTTCTCTGTGCGACTTTTTTTAATAATACTGACCATGTGGTTAGTAGTTGTATTTACTTTATTTCAACGAGGTTCTGCAATCAGCAAACATCATTGGAGAGGAACGGAGCAGACAGAGGCCATTTAATAAAAGTGCGGGGCGTGTGCTTGCGTTTGATTTAGCGATAATGAGGGCGCGGCCTTGATTTCGCGGTTTTACTTCCTGCTCACGACTGCGTCTGCTCCTGAAACACGCAAGTGCGCAGACTCAAGTTCCAAGATGTCAGCGCCCTATCGAGACACTTGCGGCTTCAGTTCTCTCTGATGGAAAAGAGCGAAGGGGCGTCGTCCATTTTTTTTTTACAGTCTATGGTTTGCTTGCTCCCATTGTGCGTGTTATTTTAGACAAGAGTGTGCAGTATGATGTACAGATCAGTGCAGTCGTGAAGGCGAGCTTTTACCAGTTGAGGCTCTTGAGTAAGGTCAAACCATTTCTGTCCAGAGCCGACCTTGAAAAGGCCATTAATGCCTTCATCAGCTGGAGGGTACACTATTGCAATGCCCTTTACATTGGATTTAATCCCTCCTTCAACTGGTACAAAATTCAGCAGCACGTTTGTACCTTTGTAATGCCTCCAAACGCTCTCATATCACCCCAGTCCTCCGTTCGCTCCACTGGCTTCGACTTCCGGTGCGGTTCAGGGTGGAGTATAAGGTTTTGCTGTTCGTGTTCAAGGCCATCAATGGTATGATTGGCCTACCTCGCAGAACTATTAACGGTCTATCAACCAGTCAGAACCCTGCGCTCCTCTGAACACACCTCTTTTGGTGAGTTTGGTGACTCCCAAGTTCAAATATAAGAAGTTTGGAGGTCGGTCATTTGCCGTCCAAGGCCCAAGGCTGTGGAACGCACTTCAACCTCAACTACGAAGTATTACTACGTTGAGTATTTTTAAATCGCAGTTGAAAACACATCTATTTAGACAAGCTTTTAACAAGTAGCTTCCGTCTCGATTCAATTGCTTATTATGTACACTTACACTACTGTCCACTGATGTTTTTACTGGAAAGCGCCTTGTACACCTTTTGGCTGTTGTAAGGCGCTCTACACATTTGATTGATTGATTGAAAAGCTTGAAATAATTAGTTTTTTTAAAGAAGTCTATGCTCACTAAAGGCCAATTTATACTTCTGCGTAGGGTGCGCGCAGTGCACAGACGCGTCCCATACCCGACATCCTTCCGCGTTGCCTGACGCGCACCTCTTCAAAAATGTAACTACACGTCGCGACGACGCGGACCGCGGTGATTGGTCGGCTTGGTAGCATCGCATTTCCTCATACGCATTTCCGCACGTACCTTCTCACGCATTTCCACACGTACCATCTCCTCCGACGTCTTCTCTCATTTCTGCCTTTCAGTTTTAGTAATTTTCACAGTTTTTCCACCCCAATAAGCTCCAACTCCAACATGATCCACTCTCTTTCAGTCGCTATTGCTTGTAGTAACCTAGCCGCGAGGAATCTAAACACAGTGGAACATTAAAACCCTCCGCCGCCAACTAGCGTTTCGGAGCAGTACTGCAGAGCAACCAATACCTGAACGCAGAAGTATAAATGCTCACAACGGCGTCGCCTACGTGCGAAGCCAACGCCGTACACTACGGCGTACCCTCGACGCAGAAGTATAAATAAGCCTAGGCTGCATTTATTTGATCGTAACATGCAGTAATAGTGTGGGTCAGTCAATTTGATATTGAAGGTCTTTCATTTTAAATAATAATAATAATACACTCTAAAATCTCTGACAGGGACACTTAAAATACAATATTTTTTTTTATTCAATTCGCACTAGATCAACAGCGCTCCAACTATATAGTCAGTGGAGTTTGTCGCGTCGTGTTTTAGCTCTGCCAAATTCGTTTGGCGGGAGGTGAAAAGTCGTGGTGGCGCCAGCAGATGTTAGCTGTGATTTAAATGTAAACAAGAAAAGGTAAAATGTGCGAATACAGACATTTTCCTCTTTGTACAGTAATAATTTGATAGGAATACATTGTAATAAAACCCTAATTTCATTCAGGAAGTTTCCCCTCAGAACAGAAAATAAAATGAACGCTGACAAAGTTATCCAGTTAACCGGTTTGGCACAGTCACAGACTACCCAACATTGGGTTACATTGACCCAGGCAGAGTAGCCAGTACTAGGAAAATATAAATGAATAACCCAATAAAATACCCAGGGGGCACTGAACCCAGCATTTTTTAGAGCGCAGATTCTTTAAAACGTAAACGAATTGTCATGAGCATAATGCAGTTTACCGTACTGTAATTCACGTTGGATAAATGTGATACACGACTGAATTAATAAATGATTTTGAAGGCCGTTACCAATACAAATATTTGTTGGTTTTAAAATACGATATGCCGATATATCGGCCGATATTTTTTATTTTATTTATTTATTTATTTTCAGAAACACGCAACAAAACATTAACAGATTTCCCTAACATTAGTTATTTGTAGTTATTTATGAGTTTTAATTAAAATAATATGATAATGCATTTTAAAAAGAAATTAGTTTCTTTTATTGTCACAACAGAACAGACTGATGATAGTGGCATTAGCTAGCTTTGTGGTTAGCTAGTCAATGATGAGCCATAATTTAGCAATGGATAAAGTCATACTGCAAATTGTAAAACATACATTTTCAATATAACAGGCCAAGGAGAGATGATACGTCTCATTGCTATAACTGTCACACGCTATTAAAGAAATACTTCAGTCACATTGTCAAAAGTTAAAAGGACAACTACACAGTAACAACGTAACGTAACTAATAGCTAATTACGCTTCACTCTCAGCAAAACTGGACAGGATAGTCACACATTTTGTCATGCTTATTTGAGTTAAGAGAACTGATGGGGATGTTCTTTTAATTGTCGTGACCAACTCAACGAGTGTTGCCAACAGGGACTGTGTAGAGTGCCCTCTGGTGGACAAACTATACAACTCCAACACTCATGACATGGTTCAAGCGCGTTTCGTCCATTTTTATTTTATTTTTTAAATATTCATTTATTGGCCATTATAACTCCTGATACCGATATTTTGGAAAATGCCTAATATCGGCCGATAATATCGGCCTGCCGATATATCGGCCTGCCGATATGTCGGTCTGGCTCTAATAAATTACAAATTTTCTATTGCAAAATTGCAACAGGAACCGAAAAGAGATAAAGCATTTAATTCCACAAATGTAGCCAAACTTACTCATATCAGATTCCTCAATCTATTCTAGACTAGGGCCTACACCTCAAGATTCTGCGAGGGAAAATCAAAAAGAGAAAATGCACACGGAGGCTTTAGAAATTCTTTTTGACCACTTCCCTTTCCTCTGTTCCATTATAAGAACATGGAAAGTAATCGAGGTAACATTACACACAGATCTTCAGTGAAATAACGATTTTTTTTTTTTCAAAGCTAATTGGCATGTCATCATAGGACTAAGTTCAAACGAAATGTTTTTCCTGTTATTATCTATCAAATCAATTTAAATTCCGACAAACTTCAGTTTCTCAAAATTACTCAATCATACTTTTAGACCACACGTCTTGGATGGCATTGCGTCAGTTAACATCAAAGCAAGTGATGCCAGACTTGATACATTTTTTTTCCATGACTTAGCAAATAGCTTACTCACTATATTTATGCATGCATGTGGCACATTGTCCTTCTTCCACATGCAGCTGCATTGTTGCACAAAGGAAACATTTTGAGTAAAGGAGATAGCCTGTTCCTTTCTGCATTAGGAACACTTTTGGAAAAGGTAAAATATGAAAAACATGTCTACCATATCCAAAAGTAGGATATATACCTATCATACAAGGGGGTGCCATCCAAGACGTGTGGTCTAAAAGTATGATTGAGTAATTTTGTGGAATATATACCTGGTAGGTATATATTCCACTTTTGGATATGGTAGACATATTTTTCAAAAGCAAATATCTGAATCCTTGATCTGTGGACGCATAAATGATGATAACACAGTTTCATCATCATGGCATAGCAACTAACAGCACAATCACCACTTCCCTTTCATGAAAGTGACAGCACAATCAGGAAAGTGTGAAGTTGCCCACAGTCTTATTTTTTTTTCATGTTGTCTGAGATTGTCATTTCCTGCCCACAATCGCATCATTCTGTGACTGTCTTTTTAAAAGCAACTTTCTCGATAAAGTGGTTAGTTAGCGATGGGTATTTTCAATGACCAGTAGTATAAAATTCTGCCTTGTGCATCATAAACTTTTCCATATAGCCTACGTGGACCTTTATCTCTAACCGGATAGACGCACATAAAAATGACGTTTGTTTGCTTTTGAATGGACAGGGTCCAATATCATGGTCTGTCTGAATACTCAATTCTGATTGGCTGGAAGGTTTGCGATAAGTAAGGGATATTCCACGGCAAGTTGGATGATGTGGAGGCAAAGAATCGCCCGACGCAAAGTGGAGGAAATAGCATTAAAGCAGAAACTAAACGAATTAAATAAACTTAAAATTGAATTCTATTGAATTTAATCGCAATCTGACTCAATATAATAATATTTGCTATGGAATCTGAATTGATGGGAGTTGGAAAAGAATGATTTTGGTATGTCATGTTTTGTTTTGTTATCAGGGTGTAAACTCACAGCAACGACTGCCATTGTCTGTCTTCAAGCTTCACTCCCACGTCTCTTTTACAGCTTTTCGTACATAAAAAATGACCAAAAATATGTATGACTTATGCACAACACAACTGTTTCTCCATGAACGCTTTATGGGAACAAGAATATCCCTTCCACTAATACAACCTACAACAACTAAATTTAAAATGGAATACAATTCCTTCATAATGACTTATAATAGACATTAAATAAACAGTGGATCAATCCCACTTTTCATGAGTTATGTGGTAACACTTTAGTTTAGGACCCAATTCTCACTATAATAATAATTCATTACATTTATATAGCACTTTTCTCGAGACTCAAATCACTTTACATAGGGGAATCTCCTCAACCACCATCAATGTGGTATAACTAGATATGGTGTAAACTAGTTTCTCATTAGCATGTATATTATATATATATATACACACACACACACAGTGCAAGCATATTAAAGTGATCACATCTAACTATAAGTTTAAGTGTTATTCCAAGTGTGACTGTATGCAAGACCATTTAAATACAATTTTAATAAATGCTAAAATTATTTTTATAGTTGTTTATTGATCAAGCAGCAGTTACAAATGTGTTATGCAATTCCTTTGACACGTATAAAAAGTACCAAAAATGACATTAGTTAAATGCACCTAGTCTACAAATAGCAAGAAAGAATGCTCAGAATCAATACTGACCTTTACAAACAAAGTTTACACATCAGTAACCTTGGACTTTGCCAATATTGTAGAAATTAGATAAAAATGAACATATGAAAATAGCTCCTTTATGACATTGTAGTAACAAATATTTTTCTTAATATACAATTTTCAAAAAGCACTTTGACAATTATTCCAATGCTGCTTGAGTGCCCTGAAAACTATCACTGTATACAGAAAAAAAGTAACCCCAGTTATTAATCTAATATTCTATACATTGATGCTAGTGTTTCTGTTTTAGCAGCTAGCTCTTCCAAAACATTGAGCTTATTTGTAACAAAGACATATTTCTCTCTAGAAAGATCTTTGTTCATTTACCAGATCTGATTCCTGGATTTATTAGTGATTGTGCCAACAAAATATAAATCAATTAGTGCATTTCTCATTGCATGAACCCCAGCAGCTGCTCACTATAAAGATAGCTGGACAAAGTTTTCAATGTAATTTTAAAAGATATTTTTGGGCCCCACAATCAAAAGGTTAAATTAACTATCGCTACTATTTGACTATTATTGGGGTATATATTTGTGATTGGTTCACTAGTAGTGACCAAATTAAGCCACAAAACAGCAGCCTATTCTGACATTAAACAAATAACAAGTGAAACTGTAAGGCCACACTAGAGCTGGGCATGTTTAGAGCTCGCAAAATAATTAAACAAGAATTTAAACAAAATATCAGTATTAGCGATATGCTAGAAATGCTCATTCGAAAGTGATCAATATAATAACCATCAGTAACTGCTTTTCAAAGTGCAACGTTTAAATGACACGAAAAAGTTGCAAAACGGTTTAAAATTCCTCAAACAGGGTTACATAAAAAGAAAAAATATACTGATTCCGACAACAACGGAAGATTTGTGCAATACTCAAAGTATTTTTTTTACGGAACATAATGGCAATAGGTAAACCAAACAGGGATTTCTGGTTATGCATTATAATTACCCCTGCAAACATACAAAATCAATAGCGTCCTCTAATATTACAATTACGTTGAGAAAAAAGTGCTTCAAACAGTCTAGCATTAAAACGCTGTATCAATGTCCTTTCAAATCAGTCATGTAAATACTTTGATTCTCAGTAATGAGATTTTATCAGCAATGCATGTTTCTGCAAAAGCAAACGTTTAGGCCTTCTTTTTTTTTTTTAAAACCCAAGCTCAAATGCTGTGACTGAAACACCTCTGATTATAAGACAGTCATGTGGAGTAATACTGTGTTAGTGGTCTTTTTCTACCGTCTATAAGCTGAAGATGCATTCGACCGCAGCCTCAACTGGACATGTCTTTCCTCTGAGCTTGGAGCATCTCTGTCACGCTCACAATATCTTCTTCTGGCACCTGAGACAAAAAAAAGTTTCAATTTAGATGACACAAAAACACAGGAATGATCACATCCCATCCAAAAATGCATGAAATGACATGACATTTTCACCAGATGTTGGTAACAACCCAAGTAATCCATGCATACAACGAATCCAAAACAAATAAGTTCAGAAATTAAGTTGTGTGAAATAATGTGAAATGACACCAGGAAAAAGTATTGATGCTGCGTCCCAATTCGCATACTACCCGCCCTAAATAGTATTCGAAAATAGAATTGGTACGTCCCAAATCGTAGTATGTTGAAATGAATGTTTCAAAGAGACCCGGATGGCTTACTATATCCGGTCAGACACTCTAACTGCGTTGGAAGAGGATTCAGTTAGAACTACAAACACAAGTGAAAAGGTGTTAAAAAAACTACAGGCATGGAGGACGCGCGAGTTCAGTGGTTATGTAAAGAGATAAAAGGGGGTTAAGTGATTAATTATCAGTATCTAACCTGACGAAAATGTATTTATTCAATGTTGGCTACATTATTATATTGCATCTGCAGAAGCATTGTGAACTTTTTTAAAGATACGTTTAGCCATTGGGTTAGTTCACCCAAAAATGAAAATTAAGTTATTAATTACTTAACCCCATGCTGTACCAACCCCGTAAGACCTTCGTTCGTCTTCGGAACACAAATGAAGATATTTTTGATTAAATTTGAGAGCTGGATCACTGCTACATAGGCTGCCTAAGGGATTGAAACTTGACGGCCCAGAAAGTCTTTGAAGAAAATGTTTAAATATTCCATGTGACTACAGTGGCTCAAATATAAGTTTATCAAGCGACGAGACTACTTTTTGTGCGAAAAAACAAACAAAAATAACGACTTTATTCGACTATTCCTTTTCTTCCTTGTAGGCCTGAGACGAGAGTTCAAGAGATTTCCACAACGCATGCGCGAGATCGCAATTGCGATCTCCTTCAATTGTACTTCAGGTCAGTTCTCGCGCATTCGTCTAACCCAAACACAAACTTTTATTTTGGATGTGATTAATCGCGATTAATCGTTTGACAGCCCTAATGTATGTATGTGTATATATATATATATATATATATATATACACTATATATATATATATAGTCTGACACAAGAAAAAAAAAAGGATCATCCGTCATGATTCATTCAATTCAGAGAAGGAAGTTTTTTACATGCACAGACATGCCATACATAGAACTGCTATATATATAGAGAGAGAACATTAATGATGATGTAATCCATCAGTGCAAGCCAGCGAAGTCCCAGCCACCACAATTTTAGGTTTACATATGACCTTATAGTAAAAGTAATAGTATGAGTAACTGGCCAAACTATTTCCTTGAAGTACCCTAAGCGTTTTATCTTTATTTTAAAATTATACATAGCCTATATATTATAGGGCTGTATGATTTGGCCCAAAAACATTACATTGTAGTCATTTTGTCACATATTTGCGACTGTTTGTACTGCAATATGACATTTCATTTCATATGAACATGGCTCATATTGCTACTGCAAAGACATCTAGACACAAAAAACAAAGGCTACAGACCAAAGAACAAACACGCACTACAGCTTACCATACAAATGTTTATATACGTCTTATTCTTCACTTTCAAATGTTCAAACCCTTGAGCTGTCAAATCCTCAAGCTTTTATTTTGGTGGAATATTGGCGAAACACAGACGTTGGAAATGCCAATGCGAGTAAAAGTAAAGCAAATAGACGCAAACATTTGCATTAATTTATTTTAATGTTATGTTTGAATTGATTTTCTGCTGTAAGGAAAAGTTTAGCTCAACTCGCACAACAATATTTTATAATCTTTTATTTATAATGAGAAGAACGAGATAGAGGAGAAAAATTGAACTAGGTTAATCAAAAAAAAAATGCTTGCCTGAGACAATGGTTAATTATACAAAAATGTTGTGATTGACCAATCAGAATCAAGTATTACAGAGACGGACCCTTTTCATATATCCGGTGTTCTCCGAAGCAGAAGTTGTCATACAGTAGTTGCGTAAACTTCAGTTGGGGTGAATGTGAGACGACAGGAAACATTTTTATTTGCATTAGCAAAAGAAAAAAATCTGTGATACTATTTTCAAGACTTTCCAGACGAGGAAAAAAAAATAATAATAATAGAGAGACTCGAGAGTCATGTCAAATTTGCCATCACTCCATCAGCCATTGTAATAGAAACACCCTCACAGCAGAGTTAATTCTTTTTTTTTTTTTTTACAGCCAAGGTAATATAACACAAAGTATAGAGTTATAAATGTGGATTTTTTTTTCCTTTTTATTTAAATATTAAAAACTTGATAAAAGGGTCCACATTTAAATGTCAGATAATAAAGCTGATGATCTGATGATGAGTAAGAATGACCTGTGACCAATAGGGAACCAGACAGTTTCTGCTAAAAACTCTTATGGGTTTCCAGGAAAAGTGGAAAAGAATAGGAAACTGATTTAACATGACATAAAGGAAATAAACAGAGGCGGTGTTGCAGAAATAGTCCAATCGGAGCAGATTCTGAAATTCTTCTGTTTGCTGATTACTAGGCAACCACATGTCCTCCCTTTAGTCAATGTCACGTAAATATCAAAAATAATTTAAATATACTAAATCTAAATGGACTAAACTATGCATTCTAGACCTCTACAGACTGTAATTAAGTAATAATGCACTTATTTTGTATTATATTGAACATTGGGCACCCTGATCTCTAGATGTGTAGAAAACCCCCATCGGTTGACTATTACATAGAGTTTAAACATTATGGGTAACAGAAAGAGAGAGAAAATATTCCACTTACTAGAGCATGATCAAAGCTGAAGGTGCTGATGTAATACGCTGATATATCACTGTCGGCAAGAGGCTGAGAGATCTGAGCAACTATCCCACATTCATCTGCAAAAGGAGACAGCGAGTGAGATAAAAGTCAATATTTGGAATAAATTAATCTTTCCGATTTTATCTATTCTTCTATCGCCCACCTAAACAAATTTCGCTATTGTCTGGACTAGTGATTGGACCATAAAAAAAAACATTACATTTATATACATAAGCATCCTAACTAAAAGCTTTTTATATGTATTAACAAATAATCCTGAAACTAGGGATGCACGATATATCGGCCAGCATATCGGTATCTGCCGATATATGTTCATTTTTAATGTTATCGTTATCGGCCTGGTAAGAAAATTTGGCCGATATATTAAAGCCGATAAATAATGTATTATATTCCCTTCAGCTGAGAAACTTGTTGAGAACTGTTTATGTTTTTGAATTTCTTGAAATATGATTGAAATCTCTTCAAAAAATGAAAATCTGGTTCGGGACAACATGTGCAAAGCAAATCTATCATATCGGCTATACAACACTATAATGAGAACATCATTATAATTGTGCGCTTGGAACATGGATTTAATTGTGAGACTTTTGTTTTTGTAATCAGGCTCTCAAAAATTAGATAAAAATTTGGGTTTAAGTTTATCGGCCGATATATCGGTTATCGGCTTTCAAATATGAAGAATTATCGGTATCGGCCAAAAGTGCATCCCTACCTGAAACGTATGCATCACAGTTTCCACACAAATATTAGGCGACTTATTTTGCACGCTCGCCATAGTCAGCAACTATGTGACATACAAAACGTTGACTACATGTGAAGTGTATGAAAAACTCACAAGTTTAGGCCGGTGATTCCCTAACTTTTGCTGTCAGCTTAAAGGAGTAGTTCACTTTAAAAAAAAAACTTTTCCTAATAATTTACTCACCCCATGTCATCCAAGATGTCCATGTCTTTCTTTCTTCAGTCGAAAAGAAATTAAGGTTTTTGATGAAAACATTCCAGGATTTTTCTCCATATAATGGACTTTAATGGGAACCAAACTGTTCAAAGGGCTTTAAACGATTCTGACATAAATTATCAGCAAAAGTTTTTTGTAAAGTGAACTACTCCTTTAAGAGTGTTTTTTGACCTTGGATCATAAGAAACTCCAGAACAAAATTAGGAGCCTTTAAAACAGCATATATGGGTGCACTTTTTCAATTATTAAAAAAAAAAAAAAAAAAAAGATTAAAATGTGAATTTTTTAGATTGATACCTTGCAATACTGAATGAATTGTACTTTAACTACATTATCTTGAACTTTTCTTTTACTGAGCTAACTGTAATGCATTGTGGGATTGTTGAAGGTTACACATGGTGCCTTTGAATGTGTCTAAAAGAAAGCTCACCGAAGCCGAGAGGCTGCCCTCCTATTCTCACCATCCTCCAGAGCTCACCAGAGGAGCTGGTGAAGAGGAGATCAGCTGGGAATCTGACACAAACACACATTGGGTTTTTATTGTTTTATTGAAATGTGCAACTAAAAAAGCTTTGATATCACCCGTTCATGACTCGGTGAGGGTCTTACTGTCTCTGTGCTTCTGTGTCCATCACCAATGAGACGTATCCATCAATCAGAGAGAAGGAGAAGAACTTGATACATTCCATGTCCTGCTCAACACTGGCGCCCTCTTTAGGACTGCAGGAGAAAAATGCATTAAAAAAAAAAAACTCATTTGCTATTGAGTTTCAATGCTATTTTTTTCTTATTTAAAATAAATGGATTACTTTGGAATGGAACTTTGGAACTTTTTTTATAATTGTTTTTGAAATGGAACTTGATTACAAATTCCACATTATTCAACTTATCCCTTGACATGAAACTTTTCTTTTTTTTTCTTTTTTTTGTGGGAGAAATATTTTTGGCTAACTTTTCTGCATCTGTGTTGTCTTATATATAAAACATAGAACCACCATTTTAAACAAGATACCTTCAATGGAACGAGCAAAGATGAGCACAACTAATATCCTTCGATCATTATCTAAAATGTTTTTTTATTTTTCTTCACACTTAAAGGGTTAGTTCACCCAAAAATGAAAATTAAGTCATTAATTACTCACCCCCATGCTGTACCAACCCCGTAAGACCTTCGTTCATCTTCGGAACACAAATAAAGATATTTTTGATTGAATCTGAGGGCTTTATCACTCTTCCATAGACAGCCTGAGGGACTGCCTCTTGACGGCCCAGAAAGTCATTAAAAGAAAAGGTTTAAATATTCCATGTGCCTACAGCGGCTCAACTATAACTTTATCAAGCGACGAGACTACTTTTTGTGCGAAAAGAAAACATAAATAACGACTTTATTCGACTTTCCATTACTTCCTTATGGGCGCATGCGCGAGAACTGAGACGAGACCGTTCTTCTTCGACTACTTTTTGTTACCGGCTGCTCACCGCTTAGGAGTTTTACCGCCCCCTACCGTATAAGATGACGTACTGCTTGTAAACAGAACGTTTTGCGCCTTCGGCTATATCAGTACGTCATCTTATACGGTAGGGGGCGGTAAAACTCCTAAGCGGTGAGCAGCCGGTAACAAAAAGTAGTCGAAGAAGAACGTCTCTCGTCTCAGTTCTCGCGCATGCGCCCATAAGGAAGTAATGGAAAGTCGAATAAAGTCGTTATTTACGTTTTTTTTTCGCACAAAAAGTAGTCTCGTCGCTTGATAAAGTTATAGTTGAGCCGCTGTAGGCACATGGAATATTTAAACCTTTTCTTTTAATGACTTTCTGGGCCGTCAAGAGGCAGTCCCTCAGGCTGTCTATGGAAGAGTGATAAAGCCCTCAGATTCAATCAAAAATATCTTTATTTGTGTTCCGAAGATGAACGAAGGTCTTACGGGGTTGGTACAGCATGGGGGTGAGTAATTAATGACTTAATTTTCATTTTTGGGTGAACTAACCCTTTAAGATAATCAGCTAACCTATCTATCTAGTCCATAGATATCGCTGTAAGTTCATACTGCTGTTAACACTTCAAGCAGATGTGATGAGACCAGTTTCAGGTTTGGTCATGTGACGTTCGACATATAACCCATTAGACAGCTTACAGTGTGTAAGTTTTATAAGCAGGCAAATTGTGTGATAAACTGAAATTAATTCAAGAAGCCTCTTGGTGGCAGTAAATACCAATCAATTTAGGCCTGCTATTGGTGCCAATCAAGTGGAAATGAAATACACAAGTCAAAGCAGTGAAAACAGCATCACTTTCATACCTGTTCGAGTAAAACAGAACATCTATGAGGGTGGTGGCGATCGCTGGCAGAGTATCCGGATCCAAACTCATTACGCAAAACTGATTCTCAGGAATCAGCACTGGATGAACTGTGGCATGCGGAGCTGAACACACAAAATAACACTTCAAAATCTCAAAAACCAATACTACCAGATGGAATACTAACACTCAATCAACATGTCAATACAAAACACTGGTAAAATTATGAATTATACAAAGAAAAGGGGACAGTCAAGTATTAATGACATCAGGGGCCAGATTTACTAAACAGGGCAAAGTGAGAACGCAAACCCATAAATGGAAACTGACGACAAGCAAAATAAAGAACACAGCCGGATCATTTCCATAATCACAATCTACCAAAAGCAGTGCAAATTAGCATCGGGATAGTTCACTTAGGACACAGACCGAAGCGCCCGTGCCTTCAGATCACTTGGACGTGGCTGTGGTTAAAAGAAGTAAAAACTATATAAATACTGTTTGTTTTCTCACACAAACCGCTCGTTTCGTGTCTTAGGTCATCAATGTGTACTTACATTTACGAGTCATTAAATCATGTTTAATTTGGACTTCTCTGTCCATGCTCTTTGAGGTGGTGACCATAGACCTCCATTAAATGACTGACAGACAAGAACGGTTTGACCTAAAAATATCAAAATTGAAACTTCTGCGGAAACAAAGACACCTACATCTTGGATGCCCTTGAGGTAAGCTAAAACATAGCAAAAATTCATTTAAAATTGAACTATCCCTTTAATACGGAGGCGTATTGCATTCACTTGAAGAAAAAAAATCTACTCTGTTTTTCTGAATTAATGAGTTAATTTTTCATGAGAAAAAAAAATTGCTCTGTTTTTCTGAATTAATGAGTTAATTTTTCATGAGAAAATTTTTTTTTCTCTGTTTTTCTGAATTAATGAGTTAATTTTTCATGAGACAAATTTTTTTGCTTCGTTTTTCTGAATTAACGAGTTCATTTTTCATGAGAAATTTTTTTTTGCTCTGCTTTTCAGAATTAATGAGTTAATTTTTCATGAGAAAAAAAGTTTTTCTCTGTTTTTCTGAATTAATGAGTTAAATTTTCATGAGAAAATATTTTTTTCTCTGTTTTTCTGAATTAATGAGTTAATTTTTCGTGAGAAAAAAAGTTTTTGCTCTGTTTTTTCAAAAAAAAAAAATTCCATGAAAAATTAACTCATTAATTCAGAAAAACAGAGAAAAACTTTTTCCTCATGAAAAATTAACTCATTAATTCAGAAAAACAGAGCAAAAAAAATTCTCATGAAAAATTAACTCGTTAATTCAGAAAAACAGAGCAAAAAAAATGTTCTCATGAAAAATTAACTCATTAATTCAGAAAAACAGAGAAAAAATTTTTTTTCTCATGAAAAATTAACTCATTAATTCAGAAAAACAGAGTAGATTTTTTTTTCTTTAAGTGAATGCAATACGCCTCCGTACTTTAAGACATGCTTTTGCGGTAAATAATTTCACAAGTACCAGTTAAATGACGAGCGCAAACCTTAGTAAATCACCTTGCATGATTCATTTAAATACTTCACTCCTACGAACGCATATGCAATAACGTCAGCCGCAAAAATAACCCTGTCCGCACCTTTTCAGAGCCAATTCATCACCGCGTGTCTTTAGGAAATCCTGACAGTAGTTTTTTTAATGCCGTTTATTTTTAAGATTGTAGTAAATCTGCCTTTAGATCTTTTTATATATTAGTTTAGAAATATTAAAGCTACAGTATGTTTCCATAGTATAATGAACTATTCTTAAAAAGATCCATTTTACAATTTCACATTTTTTTTGTCCTCTTCAAAAATAAAACAAAACAAAAAAGGGCAAGCGCAAGATATGTGAGAATACACTACCATTCAAAAGCTTGGGGACAGTATGACTTTAAGTACTTTTATATTTATCAAGGATGCATTAAATTGACCAAAAGCTACAGTAAAGGCATTTATGGTACACAATATTTCTATTTTAAATAAATGCTGTACTTTTGTACTTTCTACTAGTCAAAGAATACTAGAAGAAAACAAGTGTCTCCATAACAATATTAGGCAACACAAAGGTTTTTTAACATACAGTAGATACTAATAAGAAATGTTTCTTGAGCAGCAAATCAGCATATTGAATGATTTCTGAAGGATCATGTGACAATACAAATTGAATAGATTTAGTTTTTACTGTATTTTTTGATATGCAGCCTTGGTAAGCATAAGAGACTACCTTCATCATTCCAACCCCAAACTTTGAGCAAAAGTATATGGCTTTCCTTTATCCACTCTCACCCTCTCTTCCATTTCGATGAAGGCCATTGCAGGCGTCCTGACTGTGGACAGGCACTGACTTTCCCCCCTCTTCTCGGAAAATATTAAACTCCTCCACTAGAGTCCCCACCACCACCGAGAGGTCTTTCTCCCGCACCTAAAACACACACATCCAGTTCAGTAAGGTGATCAAATACATTTTTATATAAAACTCCTAACAGCACTCCCTGAGGTGGCCATGTTTATTTTGTACTTCACTATTATTGCATTTTCATCACTTGTTAAAAAAAAAATGGCAAAACTTTATTTTAGTGTTCTTTTATGCATAACTAAATTATGTATAACCTTAAACCAAAACCTAATCATAAAACTATAGTAAGTGCATGTAGTTCATTAATATTTCCAAGTACTTAAAGACACACAAAAAGTATAACCAAAAAAACAAGCAAAATTGAATCAAACGGTTCTGAAGATTATGTTTTTAGTTGTTGTTGTAGCACCCCCTGTGGGTGACTATTTGGTGCCAGTCTTATAAATGTCATCTTTTTTTTTTTTTTTGGAATTGGAAATCAAGGTCAAGGATTCAGAATAATTTATAGATTCTAGCACATAAATCTCCAGACATCATCACTTTCATTAAACATCTACCAACTTATTAAAAACAAAAGGGGGTCATAAAGGTGTAAAACATTTACAACAAGCAGGTGTGTTGTGTTAGAGCATGTTTCCTTAATACTTTATTTATTAACACTGTTCTGTGTCTCTGGGTTCAGCCAATTGTCCACCAGCTCCACTTCTGTGTTTGTTGCTTTCTTTGCTTAGTAAATGACATTCACAGCACAAAGCTATTTTAAAAAATAAGCAACAAATACATACAAATAATTATGAAATAATGCTGCTGCGTTGCATTCATGTCAGAGTTATCATAATTATCAAAATCTAAAATAAATAAATAAATAAGTTGAAAAGTTTATGGAAGCTCTAACATCTCTTATTGCGGGTTGTGACATGTTAAGAATGTCATATGACATGCAAGAATAAATATTAAATGGATAGTTCACTTTGAAATTAATTTTTGATATGTTTTAGCTTACCTCAAGGGCATCCAAGATGTAGGTGTCTTTGTTTCCGCAGTATTTTCAATTTTGAAATTTTTAAGTCAAACCGTTCTTGTCTGTCAGTCATATAATGGAGGTCTATGGTCACCACCTCAAAGAGCATGCACAGAGATGTCCAAATGAAACATGATTTAATGACTCATGAATGTAAGTACACATTGATGGCCTAAGATACGAAACGAGCGGTTTGTGTGAGAAAACAAACAGTATTTATATCGTTTTTACCTCGTGTAATCACAAGTGATCCGAAGGCACAGGTGCTTTGTGGCTGTGGTTACAAGAGGTAAAAAAGATATAAATACTGTTTGTTTTCTCACACAAACCGCTCGTTTCGTGGCTTAGGCCATCAATGTGTACTTACATTTACGAGTCATTAAATCGTGTTTAATTTGGACTTCTCTGTGCATGCTCTTTGAGGTGGTCTTTCTGTGCATCATTACACCCTGAGAATTCAATCACGTGGGACACTTCGGGGAGGGAATTAAACCAAATCAAGCACAATTTTCAGATGCTGTGTAATGAAACTGATCCACTAGTAAGTCCAATTATCCAATCACATTCACTCCTGAAGTCACATGATTTGATAATTCCCTGATTTATTTGGTAAATGCGTTTCCAACGTAGTCTAGGAGCATGTCTTATTATCAGATAAAAACAATTACGTGCATATTTAGAATATATGCAGACCTTTATGCTTTTTTGTGTGATAATCCAAAAATGTGGGTGGATGGAAACATAGCCAATGATCTCAAAGACAAAACACTCGCTTACCAGAATAAAGTCGGTCTGATACGTAGAGAGCATGAACACGGATACATGCTGCTCAGCTAATGGCGCAATAACAGACTTGGCGATCTTGGTGACACCAACGGCCTGTGAGCTGCTGGAGGCGTTGCCATTGGAGACGACATTGAGCGGGAGCCAAGTAGAGCCCTCCACCTGTAAGTGTTCAGACAGTTGTAGCTCTGGGGGAACAGGAGGATGGACCAGTCCGTATCAATCAAATATACCAGTTTTAAACAATAGGTTTACATTCATTTCCAAACACACTTTACGACATTTGTAGAGAAAAGACTATTTTTTAGTAGAGAACTTCATTGAGAAACTCATTCTGCACTGAATGATTTTTACTCGAAGGACTGATACATTACAGTTTAAAAGTTTGTGGTTTTTTAAAAAAATTTGGAAAGAATTTAATACTTTTATTCAGAAAAAAATGCATTAAACTATGGAAGAGGATTAGGGCCAAGCAATAATAAAAAAAATAAAACCATCTCGAGATTAAAGTCATTATAATGCGAAATTAAACTTGTTAAATTTAAAGAATAAAAAAGTATAAATACAATCTTGAAAATAAACTTTTTTTCTCGAAATTTAAGTTTAATCTCGCATTATAATGATGAGTTTATTCTCACGATTGTATTTCGAATTTTTCTCAAAATGTACGAGTTTAATTTCGCATTATAATGACTTTAATCTCGATATTTAAAGAGTTTATTCTGAAGATTGTATTTCGACTTTTTTCTCGAAATTGAACGAGTTTTTTCTCGAAACACGATTTTATTCTCGATATTTAATGAGTTTATTCTCAAGATTGTATTTCAAATTTTTCTCAAAATGTACAAGTTTAATCTTGCATTATAATGTCTTTATTCTCGATATTTAATGAGTTTATTCTCAAGATTGTATTTCGGCTTTTTTCTCGAAATTTAAAGAGTTTTTTCTCGAAACACAACGACTTTATTCTCGATATTTAATGAGTTTATTCTCAAGATTGTATTTCGACTTTTTTCCCTCGAAATTTACGAGTTTAATCTTGCATTATAAGGACTTTAATCTCGATATTTAAATAGTTTATTCTCAAGATTGTATTTCGACTTTTTTCTCGGAACACAGCGACTTTATTCTCGATATTTAATGAGTTTATTCTAGATTGCATTTAGACTTTTTTCTCGAAATTGAACGAGTTTAATCTCGCATTATAATGACTTTAATCTCGAGATGGTTTTATTTTTCTTATTATTGCTTGGCCCTAATCCTCTTCCGTATTGAACTGATCAAAAGTGACAGTAAAACAGTAAAAACATTACAAATAATTGCTATTTAAAATAAATGCTCTAATAATCTATACATCAAATAACAGTTTACACATTCTATTATTGATAATAAGAAATGTTATTAGCAATCCATCATATTAGAATGATTTCTGAAGGATCATGTGACACAATGATGCTGGCAATTCAGCTTTGATCACAGGGGAAAAAATCATTTTCAAGAATATTCAAATAGAAAACATTTTAAAATGTAATAATATTTCACAATATTATGTTTTTTTTTTATAGTCTCAGTGAACAAAAGACTTTTCCCCCAAAATACTAAATTAAAAAAATATTGTGAACAGTAGTGCATCTTAGGATCTTTTAGGACCTCAACCAATAAGCAAATGGTAGAGAGTTTTGCACAAGCAAACAACAATCACATTTTCTTCAGATAAACCCTCTGCAATGAAACTAGTCTAACGAGATTACAGTCTCACAGACTAAACCACAGAGCACAATAGGAAGTTATTTCTCAAATACTGATTGTGTTAACACTAACTAATCCAGAGTCTATAATTATTCACAAAACTACAGCAAGAAGTTGCAAACTTCTTCGTGGGCAGGCATGCCACCATCAGAAATGAATAGGATGATTCTGTAACCCATTAACACAGGAACATGATCATACTGTACGTTTTAAACACACAGACCTCTCAAAATGAAAGAAAATAGCTTGTTCTCCTATCAGAAAACCTGCAAACAAACACTGCCTCTGAAACTTTGTAAATAGTCGTGTTTGCCTTCCTGTAGACTATGAGAAGAGGAAAAGATTCTAGCTGTGGAGTCGCAGGGGTTTGTCAGCACAGAGGAAACAGCTGTTTGGATCAGAGGCGAAGAACAGGGTTACAGAGCGGCTCGATGATAACAGCCAAGAACTCAGTGTAACCTTCACCTGCTCGCTGATCAATGCTCCAGAGCCAATAGAGATCATTTGAGGGATTGACTATCTTTTCAGAGATCAATAACAACCAAGATATTTTTTTGCTGGTCGAATTGGGTCAGTAGTTCAGATTTGCATTTGCCCTGCTAACTAACTAACAAACTAATTAACAAACAATCAAACAAACTAACTAACACATAAAACAAATACATTTTAAAGGAGTAGTTCACTTTAAAAAAAAACATTTGCTGATAATTTACTCACCCTCATGTCATCCAAGATGTGCATGTCTTTCTTTCTTCAGTCGAAAAGAAATTAAGGTTTTTGATGAAAACATTCCAGGATTTTTCTCCATATAATGGACTTCAATGGGAACCAAACGGTTCAAGGTCCAAAAGACACTTTCAGTACAAACTGCAAACTGTTCAAAGGGCTTTAAACGATTTCTGACGATGAATAAGGGTCTTATCAAGCAAAACGATCGCTTATTTCAAAAATAAATAACTAAGTTTAAGGTTTTATAAGCTCAAATGGTCGCCTTGCTCTGTTCTGTGATGCACGTTCGTGACTCCCCTGTTCGAACTCGTTTATCAAAATTAACGAATCTTTTTTCAAGTCATTTGGTTCATTCAACGAACTAAATGAACGAGTTGACTCAGGAAAAGATTAGTTCATTTTGATGAACGAGTTCGAATAGGAGAGTCACGAACGCGAATCACAGAGCAGAGCATTTGAGCTTATAAAAGATAAATTATCAGCAAAAGTTTTTTTTAAAAGTGAACTCTTAAAAAAATTATACTTGCAATGTGTCTTTGCTGAATAAATTGATCAAGTGACAGCAAAGACATTTTATATGCAAAGACATACCATTTTCAACCAATATCCAAATCAGCATTTTAGAATGATTTTGGAGAAGAAGAAAAAAATGTGACACTAAAGACTGGAGTGATGCCGCCACAAGAATAAAATGTGAAACTATGCTGATAATTATGTGAAACCATGAAAAAGCATTATTCTGTCCATCTTGTTCAAATATGTCACATTTCCATATTCTTCACATTTCAATGCAGTTTCAAGTAATGAATCAATTAAAGACTGATTTCAACTTGAATTTAGTCAAAAAAAGCTTCAGTATTTAAATACTGAATATGCTGAATATTTTTTTATCCAATCATGGCGGTTCACACTGCATATATGCAAATAAGAATGTTACCTCAGGGTTTGGAAATGTACAGTGTGATTATGAATCCCCAGGATCAAATGTTGACAACATATAATCACAACAACCAGAATTAACAAACAAATGATATAATTCTCAGTACATTCCATGGCAATGTGTGTCATCATCAACTGAACACAAGAGAATTAGGAGAGCAGTTTGTGTGTGTGTTACCTTTAAATCCCTCTTCATCAAGGACAACGGTGTAATTTTCCGGAGTTTCTGTGAGGCTGAAAAATTTGCATCTGTGAGAGAAAGAGAAAAGCCACATGAGAGAGGGAAAACAAATAAATGGAGAGAGAGAGAAAAAACAAAACAGACAGATCAGACATTGCATTAATGGACAAAAACAATGGCAGATTGTTGTAAAGTGTGTTCCAGCAGAGAGGCGTGAAATGGAGAGAAACCACATCAGAACCCTTTGCAGAAAAGTGAAAGCTTTCACTTAAAGTTAGAGTCAACAACATCTGAAATATTCACACCATTCTGCATTTGGGTTGATGCTGAACTGGTTTGTTGTGGTTGATAAACTTGAGGTGAAGAGAACGCAAGATTGTGCGTTTGTGTGAATTGCTTTCTTCACGATGGGGTTTGTTTGACCCAAATATTTTAGGGGCCGGTCCAGGAACCCAGAACAACATGCTCCACTTCATTCAGGCGATCTATTGTCTAAGAGCCACAGAGCTGAGAAGCAGCCGGGAATCATGGGAAAAATACTCTTGAGCTGTTGAATTGTGCAATTGAAATCTAGACTGGGTCATGAATTTTAACTGGAACCAAAGATAAAATGGTAACACTTTACTTGACGGGGTGTGCATAAGACTAACATGACACCTTATAAGACTATGCATAAGACTAACATGATAAGTTATGAATATGTAGGAAGTTTTATGCATGTTTGGGACAACTGTTATTAAGAGTCATTCGCTCAGTTATGACATTTTTAATGCAAATATGACATTGTTTGAGATGTCTTTATGACACCTTGACATAAACCAATACATCATAACCTGTCAGTGTCTGTCATGACAACTTGACATTACTTAGACTCTAGTGACAGACACTGACAGGTCTAGACAACACAACCTGTCATAAACATGATTAATTATCAAACTTAAAAACCACCTAGCTTTATTGGTTAACATTACATTAAACTGTCAGGTGGTTGGTTTTGACATTGGCTGTCATGAAGCCATTATAACTTTTTAATGACAAATTCAATGTGTACCACTGTAGTTGAGGTCACGAAAAATATTCATGACACAGTTCTAGTGGCCTCATGACAGCCAATATCAAAGCCAACCACATGACGGTTTAACTTCATTTTATGTCAAGTTGTCATAACAAAGACATCTTAAACAATGTCATATTTGCATTCAAAATGTCATTTTTGAGCGAAAAGCCCTTTGAACAGTTTGCATTGAAACTCTCATTTGGACCTTGAACCGTTTGGTTCCCATTGAAGTCCATTATATGGAGAAAAATGCTGGAATGTTTTCAGCAAAATCCTTAATTTCTTTTCGACTGAAGAAAGAAAGACGTGGACATCTTGGATGACATGGGGGTGAGTAAATTATCAGCAAAAGTTTTTTTAAAAGTGAACTACTCCTTTAACTCCTGCAGTTAAAAAAGACTGAAACACTATCAGACGGCAGCCCTTATTTGAATGAAGAGCTGCCATACACGACCCACAGGTCCAGTGCAGCTGATTCCTGTGCTGTCTGCAACTCAGCGGAATGCAATCCGGACCCCAATGACTAGGCACATCAATCCAGAGGCCGAAAAGAGGGAAAATAATACATGCCCACCCTCAGGGCTAACTCAGCACAGCAGCATTGTGTCCGCTAGTCTCACACTTCCTAACAACATCTAGAGCTCCCGGGGATCAACTTCCTGTAAGAGCTCTGTAACCTTCTGGAAAAAAGAGAAATATAGGAGTGGTGTTAAACCAACATCCTCCAGAACGGTGAGAAAAGAGAGGGAGCTGTTTTCAATATTGGTGCACTCTGTTTCAAAGTCTTCCCAACTGTTAAAGGGGTGATGAACTGATGAACTTTTGACATCTAAGAGGTCATATTATAAGAATATCCTGTACGTTTCAGAACTGAAAACATCCTTGTTAGTCCAATAAAAGCTTTTATTGACACCAGCCTCCGCAAACGACTCGTTTTTCAAAGTGGGGAACTATGACGTCAAAGAGGATAAAACACCACCCCCGCAGAAGACGATCAACATGGCCGGTTTAGCCCCGCCCACCAATTCGTGCGTTACACGCATAGCTAAATAACATAGATTCCTACCTCGTGATGACAAACCGGGCCGAGAGTGAAACTCATTATAATATGCAAAACTGTTATCCACTCACAGCAGTGGGCGTTACTTCCAAGTCTTCAATGCGAGATGCCTATAAAAACCGAGCGTTTTTGGGCTGGGCTCAAAACTTGGGTAGAAAATAGCCTATAACTTATTCATTTTGATGTTTTTTAATGTAAAAACCAAGCGAATGTCATAAGTTCACCTCAGACAACAATATACATGCAATGGTTCAAATCACTCACGGTTTTGGTGCTGTTTTAAATAAACTGCATTATATTTTGCATATTTTAGAGTGGCCTTTTATTGTGGCCAGCCTAAGGCACACCTGTGCAATAATCATGCTGTCTAATCAGCATCTTGATATGCCACACCTGTGAGGTGGATGGATTATCTCAGCAAAGGAGAAGTGCTCACTAACACTGATTTAGACAGATGTGTGAACAATATTTGAGAGAAATAGGCCTTTTGTGTACTACATGGAAAATGTCTTAGATCTTTGAGTTCAGCTCATGAAAAATGGGGCAAAAACAAACGTGTTGCATTTATAATTTTGTTCAGTGTAAGATGGTTGGCCATGTCGTGTTCCCCAATGCATTTTAAAGAGACCCAAAATTTAGAGCAGATTATTTACTACAGCATTTACGGTACTCCATCTGCTTATTTACCACAGAGCCGAGCCGCTTTAAAACGCTGCAAACACTGGCGGATGTGTGTAAGAGCGCAGTGTCGAGCTTCACTCTGAGACGCGTCCAATTTATTTCAATCAGAGCCCTAGCAATTTAATAATTGCAAAAAGCCATAAAAGTATTGTCAATGACCTAAATTTTGTGTTTGTTGGTTATTTTACACATGATTCTAAGGTATACTGGAAATCAATGATTTGTATTTCATCAGTTTTAAAGGCTTTTTTTTTTACAAAGAAAAATGCAAAATATTTGCAATATCTTCTGGCATGCTGGATATCAACTTCAGGGACAAACCATGAATGATGGTGACACATTTTGTCGCAATTTGTGGACTTCTGTTTGTCCAATCGCCATTTGAGGATTGACCACAAGCTCTTTATGGGATTAAGATCCTGGGAGTTGCCTGGCCATGGATCCAAAATGTCAAAGTTATGATCTCCGAGCCAATTCATAATCCCTCTTGCCTTGTGACATGGTGCTCCAATGCATGAATCATCACCATATTGCTCCTGGGTTGTTGGGAGAAGTTGTGGGACGTTTTGAAACCATTTATGGCAGAGTTTTTGGGCAGAATTGTGAGAGAGCCGACTCCCTTGGATGAAAATTAACCCCTCACATGGATGGTCTCAGGATGCCTCACTGTTGGCCCGACACAGGAATCATGGTAGCGTTCACCTTTTCTTGTCCAAACAATCAATTTTCCAGATGTCCCAAACAGTCGGAAGGTGGCTTCATCATAGAAAATAGCTTTGTACTAGTCTATGTACTATGGAAACACCAAAGTGCGCATAAATAAAAAATAAAAATCTCATAAAAAACATATGCACTCAATTGAGGAAGATACTTTTTTTATCCGATAAATCGAAACGCATTTAGCCTACCGAATAAAATCGCTAAATGTGCAACAAAAAACTAACATGTCTTTGCTTCACTGGACTAACCAGTGGTTCAGTTTTATTGCACAGCATCTATTGGTTAGTTCATTCTGAAATACCAAAGCCAAAGTCTGATATAATGGTATAATGACCAATGTACCAATGATAATTGGTATAATGACTACCTAGAAGCGTCTAACATGTTTGCGTTTCCAACAAACATCAGGCATCTGAACGGCACGCAAGATAATATGACAGTGTTTATTGCGTTTCGTATGTGTACTCTGAGAGTCATTCATCATCATAGGAAAACAAGCCACAGTGGTTTCCCCAATTGCATGAACTTCCATTATTATTACAGATTTTTTGCACCAATTTCCCAAGAAGTGATGATTTTTCACAGGATGGAAACTGTGCTTTATTCACAAATGATTTATGCGATATTCCAATTTTACAAATAAGCTAAATTCGCAACTTTGGATGGAAAGATAGCCAATGATTGAAACTGGCATGGCAAGTTTGAATATGCACTATATGCATTTTCAGATAAGAAAACAAACTAATTTTATTAATTTCACTAAACCTATGGATTGTTTCAGAAGACTTTGAATATAGAGCATGGAGTCTCAAGTGTTATATTGTAAATTTGGAACAATATGAGGGTGAGTAAATGATGGTGAGAGAATTTTTGGGTGAGCTATCCCTTTAATTTCTGCATTTTAAGATTAAATAGGGCTTAGATTTATGTTTAGGAAGTGATATGCTCAACTCTGGAGCATTATCTGTAGCATTCAAGGTTCTGGAATGTTCAACAAGATATGGCTGAACAAGCCAGAAAATTAATATCTTACTATACACAAACACATCTTTTTCTAAGCTCTGTGGGAATCCAAACCTGAAAGTCTCCACAGGCTTGAAAAAAACTCAAATTCAATGGCATTTAGCAGATACTAATGTCACTTGATGCCCAACAAATTACTTAAAGGGATAGGTCACCCAAAAGAATTAAAATCTGTCATTAGACAGTAGACCAATTGCCTTTCATAGTTGAAAAAAAAATGTATATATACGAATACTTTGAAAAAAGTCAATGGCTGCCATCAAATATCTTATTTTGTGTTCAGCAAAAGAAAGAAAGACAGATTTAGAACAACTTGAGTGTAAGTAAATGACAAAATATTAATTTTGGGGTGAACTATCCCTTTAAATCGGTGACATTTTACGATCACATTTGGAAAAAAAAAACCTTCAAACAAATCTTCTTTTCCATAGATGTCACTTTGGCCATGTAGAAAGATATTACTCAAACCCTAACTTTTATTCAAGTGCAAATATTACAGAGTAACTCCATTAACCGAGACAAAAGTAATGTTTTGATAAAATCATGGTTTAACTGTGAAATGCTCTACTTATGCATTTTAAATACATGGTATATAGGCCAACAGACCTATACATTGAAAATAGTTTTATTTTGTCCCCTGTTCATTTAACATAAAAATGTAACTTATCAGATATATGTCAAAACATGCATACCCAAGTATGTTGTCCAGGTAGGCAGCACACTAGGTTTCAGTCATTTACACAGCTGAGCACAAGAAATTGCTCACTTCATGAAAACAGTTTAGCTATATCAGTGTGCCACTGTAAGCTTACAAAGGCCTCGTTTGCATGATGTGAAATTTTGGTTATTTATCATTTCTCCAAACTAACCAGAACAGGGTGAGGCTCATGCAGTTGAACGCACTGCAAAGTATGTACTTGAATTGCTGTCTAGACAAGATATTATTTGCATCATTGCAAACGCGTAATAACACGTTTGCAAGCTCATACAGGCGTTGACTGTTCTTACCTCGTCCTGTTTCTTAAAAATATCAGCTTGATCAGAGGGTGGGTGTAATGTTCCAGACCAGATTTGCTGATACAAGTGACTCTTAACCTGTGGTCCAAGATGTGCAGGTCCATCGTTGACTAACTTCCAAGGAAAACACCGTTGAAAAATGTATTATATACAGTCCAGGTGGGCGCGTTAAATAACGCTACGCGAGATCCCTCTATGTTGTGTTACACCCTGCTATCAAAACGCTTCATCCTCGTGCACTGGGCACGCTGGCTGGCTGGTGCGAGTGACACATTGAATGTAATCCGATTCAAGAAATGATTGGAAAGTGGATATAAAGAACTCTTTACAATTGGATTTACAGGGTGCTTCCTCCAGGGGGCGTACGGAGCCCCAGAACGCTCATTCGAATCGATTCGAATTCACATAGCTGCTTATTTGTCTTATTGGAGATATTTGTAGATTATTTTTAATTATTATTTTAAAGAATTGTCACCTGACACATGAATAGATCTATCATTGCAAGCTGTTAAAAAAAAATTCTTCTAAAAATCTAAATGAAATCATCACAAGCGAGCGTGATTTCACCTGTGATTGGTCGATCCCGAACCGCGCTGAGAAAAGAAACAGGTATCACGTGACAACGCAGTCTGTATTTCGCTTCTCTATCAATATTTTTTTAAATTATTATTATTGAAAAATATTTTTTTTTAAATCCCTAAAACAAACAAATATTCCAGGCAGTAATTAACACCTGTAAAAATGACATGGAGCTACTGAGAAAAACGTTACGCGAAGCCCCGCCCACATTGAGTCCTCGTTTCCCGCTAACTGTCTTTCTACCAGTTCATTTTCTTCTACTTGTATGGTTCGGCAGTTGTGTCACACGCCCCCTTGTTCTTAAAAGGACAGCAGCATTTAAAATGGGTCAATTTCACAAAAATAATCTTCTCTACAGATGAAAGATTGACTTTTTTATACATATATGGCACACTTATATTGATGTTGTTCATTAATGTGCACTGCCCCTGTAAACAAGTGAAATAAAGTAAACATGAGAGACAGCAAGATTGAAAAGAAGTCAACAGCACAGCCATATTTGCTTTGTTTCAAAAAGCAATTTTTGCATAGTAGTATGGTTTTACACTAATATATCAATACATCTATATTGCTGTTTTCTCTCCCCTTTATTTGTACTTGAGTGTGTGTGTGTGTGTGTCATGGTCTCTTAATAAAAGGTACAGAAATACAATCAAATAAAAGCCCATTTAAAAAAAAAAAGTTAAGACAATCATCTCTATTTAAAACAGATTTTTTTCAAAGCAGCTTTAAAGTAACAAACTGGAAGACAGCATGTTTTATTGAAAACAGACAATTATTTCTTATATCAACCGGCAGAGAGGCACAAGTTCCTTCAATTGCATAAGTAACATAATAGCTGATTGTGTGGTGCGGAGCGGAGTAAAGAGTACAATATTTGCCTCTCAAATGTACTTCAGTAAAGTCATGAGTACTCCCCAAAAATGATACTCGAGTAAAGTACAGATCCCTCAAAATTGTACTTAAGTACTGTACTCAAGTAAATGTACTGTCCGTCTCTGCCAAAACCTTACTGCTTTCATTTAAACCAGGCAAATATTCTACTACAGAAATTTACCATGGTAACACTATAACATATTATAAAATCATAAATAAACATGCAGGATTTCCTTCAAACAGTGTAAGAAAAGACTACAAGTCAACAGAAATGTATTTATTAATATACACCTAACATCGAGTTTTCAATTTCCATGCTCTAATTAAGGACATCATGATAAGGAATTCTGATAATGGCATAATTGCTTTATTTAATTGTTAAGCTTCAGACAAGCACCAGCATTTCAGATAAAAGTTTCCTCAAAAACAGGTCAAACTTGCCAAATGATCCAATAAAAAAGAGAACAATGTCTAAAAACAAGACTGTAATTTTTAAATTCTATATATCAGATTGCTGTTTTAATTTGACACTAAAACAGTCTGACACAAAGGCACCAGAGTTTATCATTGTGGTTCTCAGAATGGCATTTACAGTTCTACTCTAACACAACTGTCTTCTTCAAGAGGACCTGAAGACCTTGATCATCTGGTTCAGATGTGTTTGAACAAAACTCTACATGAATTAGATTTCCAGATGAATTGTCAACCTATTAAGTATCATCACAGTAGCCTGTTAATACCAGACTCTGCTACTTCACTTTGCTTTGTAGACAGGACTACAGGAGCAAAATGAAATTAGCGGAAATAGGAAGTCTGACCTAGTCAGGCTATCATCACAGGGGAAACACTGTTGCTTTACTGCAGAGGGGAGTGTTGCATAGGAATCATAATTCTCGATTCCATCTTTTGGATAAGAGGCACTGTCAAAAAAAAAAACCAGACATAAATAAGTCAATGTACTGATCAAAAGTTGCATTGCTTAGATGTGATGTATACTGAAATTCACCAGATGGCACCGTTTACAAAGAAAACACTTTGATTACGACTGGAATTGCTTAATATTTCTGAACACTACTGTTTGCAGGTTGGAATACCCTGAATTCCCTGCAATTTCCAAAAGTATTTGATCAGACTGACAAAAGTTAAGTAATTTTTACATCATTTGAAAAGAAATAGCTAAATATTTGTTTCAGAGATAATAATAAATGGACAATGTAGGATACCAACATTTAAAACATTTCTAGTTGTAAAAACAGTAATATTGTGAAGTAGTATTACATTTTTTTTCTTTTTGAATATATTTTAAAATGTAATGTATTCCTGTGATGCCAAAGCTGAATTGTTAGCATCATTATTACTCAAGTCTCCTTATGAAAACAGCTCAGAAAGAGTCAGTTCACATAGAAAGGGTTTTTTTCCATTCTACTGTACTACTTTTGTCACTAAATGAGCGATCGTTTTGCTAGATAAGAGCCTTAATCATCGTCTGGAATCGTTTAAAGCCCTTTGTACAGTTTGCAGTTTGTACTGAAAGTGTCTTTTGGACCTTGGACCGTTTGGTTCCCATTGAAGTCCATTATATGGAGAAAAATCCTGGAATTTATTTCATCAAAAACATTAATTCCTTTTCGACTGAAGAAAGAAAGACATGGACATCTTGGATGACATGGAGGTGAGTAAATTATCATTAAAAGCGTTTTTAAAAGTGAACTACTCCTTTAAATGCACTGTACTTCTACCTCACAGCCTCATTGACTAAACTCTATTATGCAGTATGCAATAATCAGTATGCTAATATTTTATTCCAAACATCCCCCGTCTTTGTTCATACTCACTTGTATAGTGCACATTTACATCCCAGCCCTCTTTTAACCAAGCAGCGTTTCTGGTCTGTTCTCTGGACTGCAGGTCTTTATAAGCTAAAAACACATTAAATATTTTCAGAGATTTAAAAGTGTTGCCACTTTTTAATATGCAATGATCAAAAGGAGAAGAAAAAGGACGTTTCATACCCCATAAATGATGAACAACATACAAATCACCGATCTGAGTGAAGAAGCCGCCCACTGCTTCATTGTTTTCCTGTCTGTATTTGATTGCTCGAGCCCTGGAACATGATAAAACAGATCAAATATATGCAACATGGTGATATAATATCAATATTTTTCACAAATCACACACAAACTTACCAATGATTTCCCCATTCGATCATTGTACCAGGCTTGATTGAGAAATTTCAGGACAAACCAAATAAAGAAAAAGTTTTTTAAAAAATGATAAAATGCAATGCAAATTATTGTAAAAAAGAATGATTAAATGGCCTTTACTAGTAGTTGATATGATCTCATTTCATAAATGTTGGGGCCAGTTCTGGGAGCAGGCTCGTTCCAGAAACTAAACTCCAGAAGAAGCTGGTTGCGTCGAGAGATCAACATTTTGCTCCTTTCTTTTCGAAATGCAAGATACGTCTGTACAGGAAACATTTTCGTAAAGGACACAAATATATGGATTATGAAATTATTAAATGTGTTATTAGATGTGTTCAATACCATATTGAGGTTGAGTTTGTGCAAACACTCCATAAGAGCAGGATATCCACCAGAGTATCTCCAGAGATGCACTATAACCACAAAACAGCATGTGTCACTATCGTCCTGTCACATCACACACAAAACATCCAGACGGTGCTTTTTTATCACTGATAAAAAATACTATTTGAAAAAAAAAAAACACGTAATTTCTACCGTTAGCTAAGGCGAGAATAATAATAAAAAATTTAAATACAAACATAGCGTAAATACAAACTTAATCAAATTAAGTAAAACCTACTCAACTTTCTGATACTGGTGTTCCCATCATGCACTGGGACATTTTTCACTGTTTTCCTGCTGTATTTACAGTTTTATCATTGATTTTGTTGTTAGGTTTAGTAACATCTTTTCCTACTCAAAATTCCACATTCATACTCATTGATCCAACAAATGTTACCACTATTGTGTATTTTGGACCAAGTATTGCATTACTTCTATTATGTAGATATGTTGTCTACACAATATCTACTGTATTTTTACAGGAACACACTTTACATGCATGGCTTAATTCAGTGTTATATTGTTTGAGTAAAACGTTCTTGAATCTGAGCATTGCAAACTTCAACTTCAAAGTAGAAATTACTCAAAACTTTTTCTTTGTTAATTTTACTTAACTTAATCAACTTCCAAATGTGAAATAAATATACTTAAATGTGTGTGCAAAAACTGGCTTTTTTCTTTGTTCTGTGTATGTAAGAACAAACAAACTTTAGAAAAGAATTATACTTTCATTCACTAAGGACACATTACATTGATCAAAAGTGACAGTAAATACATGTATAATGTTACAAAAGATTTCAATTTCAAATAAATGATTTTTTTCTTTTGAACTTTATAGTCAAAGAATCATTTCAACACTGATAATAACAAACAAATGTTTCCTGAAATCCATGTATTAGAAGGATTTCTGAAGGATCATGTGACACCGAAGACTGGAGTTATGATGCTGAAATTTCAGCTTTCATCACAGGAATAAATTTAAATTTCGCTCCTGTATTTTAAATTACAATAATATTTCACTGTATTACTTTTCTTACATTTTTGTTCAAATTAATGCAGCTATTCCAAAATATAAAAAAATAACTGACCTGAAACTATATATATATATATATATATATATATATATATATATATATAAGCACAGTAAAACCATTCCGTCATAATTTATTCACCCTCAGACTGTTTAAAAACCTGTTTGACTTTCTTTCTTGTGTGGAACATAAAAGAAGATATTTTGAAGAATGTTGGTGATGGACCCCATTGACTTCCATGGCATGAAAAAAAATACTATCCTCAATACTAAGTCAATGTGGGCCATCAACTGTTTAATTACCAAAAATACACAAGAAAGAAACTCATACAGGTTTGTAACAACTAGAGTGTGAGTAAATGATGACAGAATTTCCATTTTTGTGTGAACTATCTCTTTAAAAGTAGACACTGTAGACATAAGAAAGTTTATTTAACTATATAGACCACAACTCAAAACTAATCTGTGACTATTCCACAGTTTTGTCCCAGCAATGGAAAAAGCAAAATACTTTTTCATCTCACCTGCTTGATCCTGTTCACCATACCAGGTGTTCCAGCTTCCGACAACTTCACATGGATAATCTGCATCCCGATGGAGTTCTTTCTGAACCTCATCCCTAAAATCAGACAGTGGGAAGAGATAAAAAAAACAAAACATGGTTATTAATTTAAACCTGTTAAAACATCTATAATATGGTCAACAGGCTATTAAGAACCACATGAAATTGTTTTGCGTGCAGTTTGCGTGCAGATGCTCACTGTAAAAAAAAGTTGGTGCCTTCAATTTTAAAGTACAATCAACTTGAATGTTTAATTAATTTCAACTTAAATTACATGAAACTGAGTCTTGAAAAACGAGTAAAAACATATGCAGTCATAACTTATAGATCATATCATTTTTTTACAGTCTAATGATAACATATCACAGTCACATGGGACAATCAAGGACTCAAAGTACGTCAAATCTCGACATGCAGACCTGAGGGCGTCATACTGAAAGAAAGCAAGGCTACATATGAAGAAAATAGACTTCATTCGCTGTATATGATTACTTACGACAGTTTGTTGTATGCCTCCATGCATTCTGGCTTGACATTGTGAACTGCAAGAAAAAAATAAGATTTTAAGATGTCAGGAAAGACAAATAGACCAGAATCTTAATTTTGTAACGTTTTGAATTTAGCTTGTGATTTTATCACTCAAATCAACCGTTTTTCTGAAATATCATGCTCATTTTTCTAAACCCAATTTTCATAACAATTCCCCATACAGCTGGTCTCCTGAAAATAAATCAAATCTTCAAATAAACTCTTTGGAAGCTGATTTATTAAAGCAATTAGTGTAAAACAAACAGTTTAGGCTGTTTTTCTGAAGCCAAACGACAAGAAAGCACATCAATTCATGCATGGGAATATTTTTAGCAATTGCCATCAACTATATTTCATGCACAATTTCTCCCAAGGCCTAAACATTTGAGCGCATCTAGAAGGTTTTAGATGGATTGGCTCACATTGGATCTTGTAGAGGTTGCTGGTTTCTTTCTTGGAGAGCAGATTGGAGTGGGCATCTTTCCTGGCATCCACTTTGTGTGCAAACATGGAACTCAACCAGCCTTCATCACTTTTATTTGCAAAACCTCTAAAGATTCACAAGCAAAACTGTTTCAGCAAGTGTTTAATAAATATATAAATGATGCATCACAAGCTGCAATGCAAAAGCAAGTACGCACATTAGTTGATGTGACGTTTCAAAGATGACATTTTAAATTCCATCATAAATAATTATTATGCACACAGTTTTAGTGACTTAATTTTAACTTTTAAAGTGCATACGTGGGTCAGAAAGAAATGCAAAAATTAGATGCATATCGTTACAGAACATGAATTTTGGCAATAAAAACAACATTCCAATGATAATTTACATGGAGAGCTTACTTCACTATACTTTGGGGACAAATTTGCTCCCTGTGGAGACCACTTAGTCATAAATGAATTCTAAATATGCAAAAAGTTTTCTTTGGTAGAATTAGCCTGTAGATATTACTTTTTTTTAGCTTTATAAAAGCAGTCTATGTATGTCTTCATTAGATTGGTAGGATAAGAGAGGGTGTGTGTGTCTCACCTCAGGTTGCTCAAGGTATAGGCTACAACTTATACAAATTTTAAAATAAAACTTGGCCTGTTCCAAGTTAAAACTAAGTGCACAATGATAGAAATGATTGGAATGTCAGAGAAAATATTTAATAGTCTAGCAATATCATATGCATTGTGGGTGCAAATTTAGAGACTAGAAATAGATGCACTCTGAAATTCCCTGGTTATGCAGCACTAAACCTACACTATCCATTATGGCATGGATTTACATGCATTTCAGCATAAAACACCTGATGTAAAATATATCGACTACCCGCATACTGAATATGACTTATTTGACTCTAGATCTGCATGTTTACTTGCATTGCTGATTAACTTTAACTAGCAATTGTGTCGTATTACATGCATCTCAAAGTGACAAAAGCACAATACCTGGCCAGCCATGCGGAATGCACCTTGTTAATGAAATGCTGCTGTCTCTTGAGGATATGTAGAGAGCGTGTCGCCGCCATTATTCTCGCTGTTGTTTATAGATTCACGACGTATATGAAGTTGCAGGAGTTGCGACACACGCGCTTCTCTGAGTTAATGTTTGACGCGCGTGAACTGTTGGACTTCAGCTCCATATGCATATGCGCCTTCTCTTTATTGGGTCGCTGATGTAATTAAATTACTATCAAAACTAACAGAACAGTTTAAAACAGACTGTAGTTTGTACTACGACGCTGGTTTGCCCGTTTTAACTTTAATCAGATGCAATGAGCAAGCACGTGCTGCCTAAATACCATTATTATTTGTGAGGAAGATGTGACACTGACAAATGATGTTGTCTTGCAGTACAAATATTGAATTTAATACTTGTATGTTTTATTCAACAATAAAGGATTAAATTGATCAAAAGTTACAATCCTAAAAAATGCATCATACTTTTCTCAAAACCTTCGAGCAGAACTTGTTTTCAAAATTGATGATAAAAATAAGAAATGTTTCTTGAAATCAGGATATTACTAGTATGTAATGATTCTGAAACTTCAGCTTGCATGACAGGAAGAGATATATTATTTTAAATTGTACTAATATTAAATAATACTTACTGTATATTGAACAAATAAATGCAGTCTTGGTGAGCATAGGGTGACCATATTTTGATTACCAAAAACCAGGACACTCGGCCCGGCAAACAGATGGGCCTACTCAGATGATACTCGAAGTTTACTCAAAGATACCTTATTAATTTCAATACATTTAAAGTAGGTTATGCCTCCTCTGTATGGATAGAAAATGGTTATATTGTTATCTGAAAACAGGACAGTTGGTCACCCTAGGTGAGCATAAGATACTTAAAAAAATAAAAATAAAAAATAAAACATTAAAAAGTCCTCCAGACCCTGATTTTTTTGAATGGTAGTGTAGTATAAAGGAATTGCATATATGTTGTTTACAATGATTTTACACAAATTCTAGCTTGTTGATTGCGCCATACATCATGTCAAATACCAATTTTCTTTGATATGTTTTAAATTGTAAGGTCACTAATGCCATCAAAACCTGATCAATACATCATTCTACTGAATCATTGTTCCCTTAACGCCAGAAACCGATCCATCATCTATGACTTGATCCGATTTACCATATGGAGGATTGTGAGGCTAGATTCAAATCAGTTTAGAGTCTCAATTGCGCAAGATCAAAAATGCATTTGCAGTTTTACATGCCTATGGATTATCCAGAATGTTTGATACATTTCAGGTCTTTTTTTCCACTGTGATTCACTTGGAGGTTTGGGAGTGTTTCTTTGGTGCTGTTGAGTAAGTCTTCAAATTCTTGGTCGACGCAAATGTCCTTCAAGAAAACCGATGTTAGAAATAAAGACGAATAAATATCAAAGGGAATATGAGAAATGAATGGGTAAGGGTCACTCACCGTGAAGTCCAAGAACTCAACTGCAGATTCTGGGTTTGCTTGAACTGATTTTAGAATGGCGAAGCATCCCGCCGACTGCATTGGGTTCCTAGACATCTGGATCATTCGGAAAACCAACAGAATTAGCCATAACATGTACAGAAATTATATAAATGTCTTCTGGATGTCTTCAGAATTGGAAGTTTATGCTCAAAAGCCACTTTTTTCCTATTCTAATGTTTCGTACTTTGAGAATTCGTAGAGTTGTGTTCACTTTGAGGCCCAACGCTAAATGCACGGCTCCTTCAAATGGTATGCGATTATTGCTGCAGACAAAGAAAAAGGACAACACTGAAGTATTTTTGGCAATGGAAGTAAAAGTGTTTATGAATGCGCTTGTCATTTTGGCTGTTTTCTATGTCTGCTGTTAGTTGATTTCACTACTGTAAATAAATCATGAATAAATGTGCATTGTGAACACTCAAACAAATTTAGCTGACAAACATAGAACAATTCCAGCCGTCGAGTCGACCATCTCATAATTACGGCAATAAATCAAGACGACTGTCCAGTGTTCACGTGTGCCTTCAAATCATTGACTCGTGGTTGAGCACATCCTGCAGTCCATAAATACAGCTATGATATATAACCATACTATGACGACAGTACCTAATGTTCAGATCCTCCAGTGTATTGTTGTTTTTGAGTGCCTCCTCTAGAGCCATGGCACCTTCTTTGGCCAGGCCATTGTACGACAAATCCAGGGTCCGCAAGAAGATATTTCCCTTAAAAAATCAAATCCAACAGACCGAATATAGTAACATATGTGCAGAAATTAAGTGCTCCTTTTTTAAAGGGGTCATATCATATGGCGCGAGCACAACTGGCCTTTAAAGGGAATGGAGATGATTGGGTTATTGCACATTACGCCCAAAACACACCCATTACTCATTAAGAGAATAGGGACAACCCCTTTAGACCATGCGCCGGGGGTGCAGACCATTTTTCGTTAAACTAGCAATTTAGCAAAAAGGGATTTGGGCTAAGTTGCGCCGTGCGCTTTGCACTTACATTATTAAAATAGGGCCCATAGTCTGCCAAGACCAAATACATTAACGTTGGTCTACATTCAATTACATGCTAAAACTATTCCAAGAGTTGTCGTGATGGAAATGCTCTTTATTCATTTATTTTTGCACAGGGGAGAAATTTTTAGTGTGTTTTCATAGTGAAATGAACTCTTCGGTCTCAAAACATCAAGTGATCTTTGACACCTCATGATAAGACTGGGGGAAGTTTTAATCTGAGTTGTTAAAACTTGACTTGATCAATGGATTTTAGGCTAAAGTAAATTCTTAGCAGCATGAGTGACTGACTCTGGCAGAGGATGGACTTAATTTTTCTCTTACCCCCAGGCCTTCAACAAATGCAATGGCTCCTTTTCCTCGAATGCAGTTCCAAGCCAGATTGAGTGACTTCATTCCCGCGTTCTCGGCAATCGCAGCACCCAGGATTTCCCCTGAGGGGAGGAGAAAGATGCAGAGCAACATGGGGGAGTTACTGTTGTTAATTCAGTGTTTATGTGCCTTCCACTAATAATTTGATTTCGGTATGATCTAACTTAGTAGTAATTTATTTAGGCCTAAAATATGGTGGTCCCCTTGTGAGCGACCCTCTTCCTTAAATGAAAAAAAGTTATAATCTAATAATATTACTTATATTTTAATTTATAATATATTATATTATTTAAACTATTATAAAATGTGTCAACTTTTATCTTGAAAAACTTTTATTTATTATTAAATTGACACCATGTTTTCTTTATGCCCACCCATAGGATATCTTTAGATGCATAAACCTGAAGAGAAACAAAATTAAATAATATAAAAAAAAATTAAGCAGTCTCTAAAAAGCAAAATGAGTCACTGTAAAAAGTTTGCTGTAAATTTTAGTTTTTGTAAATTAATTTACAGTTATATACTGTATTAATATTTACAGTAAAGTACTGTATTTTTCATTTACATTACAAGTACCATCTTTTAATTTACAGGAATAATACTGTATACTATATTCATTTAACTACTGTATTTTTATTTACAGTATTATAATTGATTACCTATTACATAATTCGTTATTTTTTACGATTTACAGTAGAAAATAATTGCAGTAGCCTACACTCTAAAAAATGCTGGGTTGTTTTAACCCAATTTTGGGTCAAATATGGACAACCCCGAAATGTTGGGTTAAAAATGTAATGTAAAAATTTAACCCAACGGCTGGGTTAGTCCATATTTGACCCAAAGTTGGGTTAAAACAACCCAGCATTTTTTAGAGTGTAGTAAACACATATCTTCCCATAATCCTTGGCGCATTTAACAGTATTATACTGTACAAATTACAGTAAAAATACTGTTTAAATTGCAAAAATACGGTTTGATGCCCTCGATATAAAATCATGGGTCCTGAAGCGAAACCAGTTGAGAGCCACAGAATTAGTTGAAACTTTTATCCAAAGGAACTTATTACAAGGACAACCCCCTGGAGTAACCTGGGGTCAAGCACTCAATGCTGATCATTATAATTTAGATGCTGAAAATTTAGTTTTGCATCAAAGGAATTTGAAAATATATTTAAATAGAGAATGGTTGCTTTAAATTATAATGATATTTACTGTATTTTTTTTTTTAACAAATAAATGCATCCTTGGTGAGCACATATCTTAAACCGTTTCCATTTTCAAAGATCTTCAAGAAATAAAAACTCAATGAATATCATATTTGATTTATATCACAATATCAGGCCTTATTGAGGATATTTTCAATGGTCACCAGGGTACCCTGCCAAGAATAAGCAAGCAGTGTATGATTATAAAAAGAAAGCCATCACCATATGTAATATGAACAGAGATGTGCCAGTGGAATCTGTTAAGGATGTGTGAATCATGGCAGGTCATGGAGGAGTTCCTCTTGATGATTATATGCAATCTTTTATTGAGGCAATTTCCTTGTTTTCACAGCGTTATTCATGCTGACAGCTATGGGGCTTTAGGACTATATTCTATATCTCTCATCATCATACTGGGGTCTCTGATCATTTGAGATCCAGCCCTCTGGATATGGAGATGTTTGCAAATAGGAAGATATTGTGCTTGTGTTGAAGCTGAATATCATTTCTAATTTGCATTGCAGTTAAGAAGAGAGCACTTAGCTATAAAAAAAACAACATTATTTTGAAGAATTGCTTTTCCATACATTCTCACAGAAAGATGATCTTTGGTGAGCCAGATGTGTTTGAAAACAGCAGATTTGAAGGTTTTTATCAGCAAGGTTTGCCTCTCTGACATAATATCTATGTTTGTCAGAATATTAAAAAATGATTTAACGGTCTGTAAACAATTGCTTACAGTTGCCATGAAACGGAAATTAACTGTTGCAGGAATGCAACTTTAAAAAGCTCAGTTTTTAAAGTTCAAAAACATTATTTAGTGAATTGAAACTAAACTATGTAAATTTTGTGCCTAGACATTTTCATTTCACTCGGGAGTGCTGTAAAATCATCAGCATAATCAAAGTAAGACAAACTGTCATGTTTCATTTGATTCCCATTGTGGAATATTGCAGAGAAGGTTAATGTTTTTTTATTATCATAAATGTGTTTGGTCAAATCTCAAGCTGTTTTCTTCCAATGCTTGTCATACTAAGTGCCATGCAATAATCTTCCAGTTCAAGTGTTCCAACATTAGGGAGACAAATACCACTAAATGCCTCTTTAAAAGCAAAGTTATTGAAGAAGAGGTCTCAAGTCTAAGCTCAAGGAGTGAACCTTT